ACTCTGTTCAGCTTGAGTTAGGGCAACGGTTCTAGCCTGTGGTCACATATCAGATATTTACATTACAGTTATGAAGTAGCAATGAAATAATTTTATGGTTGGTGGTCACCACAATATAAAGAACTATATTAAAAGGTCACAGCATTAGGAAGGTTGAGAACCACTGGGGTAGAAGAGGACAGGGCTAGTAAACCTGCTGCAGAACCTACACCCTGCTAGCCAGCCTCAAAAACAAGGAAGTCTGGGGTTGGTGCTATAGTTCACAAGGTAGAATACTTGCCTAGCATGCACAGAGTCCTGCTCCATTCCTAGAGATCCATAAAATTTGGCATGGAAGCTTGTAATCCCAGCAGCTGAGGCAGAGACAGGGGGATCAGAAGTTTAAGGCTAGCCTAAGCTACAAGACACCCCATCTCAAAACCAAAACCAAAAGATTGACTGGATTGGATGCCTCAAATGTACCATTAGGTGACATTTATTACGCAATGTGGGAAACTTGGCAGACCCTAGGAGATTTTTAAGTCTATAGCTTATCCTAATCACAGGCACAAAACCCAAATGACTCCACATAGACACAGATGTTGTTCATTATGTGATGCCCAAACTATTATATCCTTTCTGCCTGGGCTTCAAGCATGACTCTTGTTGGGGAACAGGGGTGCAAAGGACAGGTGAAGTTAAGACTCAGAATGTCAATCTACAGACAGTTTCCAAATGAGGAAAGCTTCTTACTAACCACCAGACTGAATAGGTTTGTTTGTTTTGATTTGTTTTCTGCTCCCCTACCCTTCACAGGAAGGTCACACTAGGAGAATTCTCTGGCTCAAGTTTCAGTGTTATAAACAAAGGTCCCTCCTTTCTTATTAATCCCCTGTTAGACATACACAATTCCTTTTCCTCAATAATCAGAAACGGGATTTCCTGAAGAGGTTAGCTAACAGCTTTTCCTCACAGTTTTTTGAAAACATGCTTCAGTCATGGTTTCTGGAAAGGCCCCTTCCTGTCTATTTCCCACAGAAAGAGATGGGGCCATGGTGAATGTCTCAGTGCAGATGGTTGAGGAATTTACTTGCTTAGAATGGAAAAGGGTCTTCTGTTGGTGTCTGAATGATACACCCCGACGCAACCAGATTCTACAAGTCACCCACGGGCAACCAAAGGAGAATCTTCCCTAGGAATAATGGCTTTTATTTTTCCACATCATGAAAACTATTTCCCACAGACTAACTGCAACCTATGAGTTTATCAGCACTGCTGTGCCAAGGAAGCCTGAGGACCTCCATGGACTGGACTATCTGACTATCCCCAGGAGGAGTTAGTCAAGTCAAAGCATGGCCTGTGTTTCTGCCTCACAGATTTTTATCTTCCCTCAGAGTGTGTGCTAAAGAAAATTTTAAGCTAAAATGACTTTTAATATGTATTTTCACTTGATTTTTCTTATTGAAAATAATTTGCATTTGAAAGTTGAGTCGATCTTTATGAATCTAGCCTGCTGCTGGGGCAAGGGCAGATTAATCAATTGTTGAACTACAACACATTAATCCAGAAGCTCAACACTTATCCCCATCGTGAAAATGATTCAGTCCTTAGAATAGGTCCAAAAAGACAATTATGCAACTTCTAGAGGGCTGGGCAACTGGCGGAGAGTTTCTCTCTCATTGTTTTCATTTCCCAAGAGCTCAGCCAAAACAGTGCTCCTCCCTCCTTGACCAAAGTCCTCTGCTGGGAGGAGGCGAAAAAAAGGCTTCCCTATTAGGAAAGTTAGTGACTCGGACTTGACCACAAACCTAGGAGTGGTGGGGAGAGGGTACTGACCATTTTATAGTAAGTCCCTATGAACTTTAACAAAGCACTTTAGCACCCTCCTCCCTTCACTTTTAGGCTTGCCATGCCTGTATCCACCACTCCCTTCCCCCACCCCTGTAGATAAACACCCTGCCAGTAACCAGCTGACTGACTGATTCCAACCTTTATGATCATAATATTCAGAGGAAGGAAGCTTATTCTTAGAAAACAACGAAGCTAGCTGGCTCTAACAGCTAAGCAGCTACTGAACTCTGAGCGCCCTGAGGGAACTAACAGACTAGACATAAAAGCAGTAATGCCCAGCAATGCCCAGTGAATCTTCTAGCCTCATCAAATTCCAGAACATCTCTCAAAAACCCCTTTGGGGTCAAATGACACTTTCGCAGGGGTTGCATATCAGAGATCCTGCATTTCAGATATTTATATCATGGTTCATAAGAGCAGCAAAGTTACAGCTATGAAATAGTAACGAAGATAATTTTATGATTGGGGGTCACCACAAGATGAGGAACTACATCCAGTAAGAGGTTGTAGCATTAGGAAGGTTGAGAACTACTGAAGTAAACGAAGGAAAAAAAGTCTTATCAAATCAAACACAACTTATGTCTTCTAGGTGCTCCTTTTTAAATTTCTATCCAGCCAGGCGTGAGAGGCAGAGGCAGGCGGATTTCATTGAGTTTGAGGCCAGTCTAGTCTACAAGGCGAGTTCCAGGACTGCCAGTAACTGTTACACATATAGAAGCCCTGGCTCAGAAAAAAAGAGTTAGCATCTAATGCTTTTTGAAATATAGCCCAGACTGGCCTTGAACTCATGATCTCCCAACCACAGCCTCCCTTGTGCTGTAATTACAGTCATGTGCCACCATGCCTGACTAATACAACGTTCAGAGCTTGTTTACTTCATTTTCTAGCTCACTGAAGACCAGACTGCTACAGGCAGATCCAGCGACTGCTGTGGAAGCGACGGCAGCAGTACATGTGGGGTCCTTCAGGAGATGACTTCAGAACCCCATACTTATTCAGATTCACACATTCTCAATCCATGTTTAAAAGTGACAGAGTATTTGTATCTTCTCATCTACTTTAAATCATATCTAGGTTACTTATAATACCTAATGCAATATAGATCATGTTATGCTATATTTTTTAAAACTATGTTTTTTTTATTGTTATATTGCTATTTCTTACACTTTGGGTTTCTTCCTAAAATATTTTCAATCTGTAGTTAGTTGAAACCAGCTATACAGAGAACAAAATATAATGCTTAACATCATGGTAGTCGGGAAAAAAATTCAAAAATTACCTCCTCACTATTTATCTATATAGACTATAGAAAATCCAAACAAGAACTCAATAGGCACTCAGACTATGGTGACTCGGGGACATTTACTACAAAGCAGCCCCAAGAATCCTTGAAAATATCACCATAAGAGAATAATATCTTCTAATGTCAACCTGTACTCTTTTTTTTTAAAGATTTATTTATTTATTATGTATACAGTGTTCTGTCTGCATGTATGCCTGCAGGCCAGAAGAGGGTACCAGATCTCATTACAGATGGTTGTGAGCCACCATGTGGGTGCTTGGAATTGAGCTCAGGACCTCTGGAAGAGTAGCCAGTGCTCTTAACTGCTGGGCCATTTCTCCAGCCCTCAACCTGTACTCTTTATGGAAAATGTATGCCCAATACCCTGCTGAGAAAATGAGGCAAGCTGGGGTCACAGCTTAGCAGAATACTTGCCCAGCAAGTTGCAGGCCCAATACTTGCATACAAAAAATTTCAAATAATTTGTCCACAAACTAGGATCCGCTGAGATGATACTATTTTGTAGCCTATAGGGATTGATGTCAGTTTTCCCAATGCCAATGAAACAGAGGTATGTGCAATGGGTCTGAATTTTCTCTAACTACCAAACACTACTCAGCTCTGATGACCTTTTGTAGCTACAAATTACACTGTCTCCAAATGTGGCTTCTGCCTATGTCACACTAGGATCTGGTCTATAATGTTATAACCTTCCAGGGTTAGTGTGCCTCTGTTTTGATGCCAGTAGCCCCTTCCTCCTCTGAGATAAGGTCTTGCTTTAAAGGCTGTCCTAGAACTTTCAATGTTGTCTCAGATGCCTAAGACCTGAGATTACAGGCGTGTGCTACCTACCATGTCCTCACTTTATATTCTGATGGCAGCAGTGTCATCTGTGGGAGTAACTAGCACTGGTGATAGAATGACGTGCTACCTATACTATTTCCAAATCTATTCCTTGTGCCATGAAGGGTATGCCAGCAGAACGAGAGACTTTTTTGGGTAACTGTAACTACAGGAATCTTGAACCAAGCACTTGACCAGCAAACCCACACTTTAGGGTTCAGTCATTTGATCACCTCCTGTTATTTTGATTTTTTTTAAATTTATTATGTATACAGTGTTCTGTCTGTCTGTGTATGCTTGCTGACCAGAAGAGGGCACCAGATTTCATTACAGATGGCTGTGAGCCACCATATGGTTGCTGGGAATTGAACTCAGGACCTCTGGAAGAACAGTCAGTGCTCTTAACCTCTGAGCCATCTCTCCAGCCCCTGTTATTTTGATTTAGACTCAAAATTTTAGTACCAGAAAGACTGACTATGGTAAAGGACTAAACACTTTGCAATTAAGGCAGAACTTCTCCAACTCTCCTACAGGTAAGGAACTTGTACTTGAAGAGTGTCAGGAGGATTCATGGGCTGCTTGTTGCAAGTCAGAGATTTCTTTGACTCAATGTTTCATTTAATAATTCATGAAAACCTTACACTGCTTCATATCAATAAAGTCTCCCTGAAAGATGTGCAAAATTAACACTTCAGGAAATGGCTAACAATAGCTCAGTTTGAAAAACAGGACTATGAATTCAATTTCAATGCAGTAACCAAATTTGTTAATTTGAAAGTCCAATAAATCATGAGGAGATTCTTAGGCTAAGAGACAAGGCTTAAACACTTTCTTCCATATCCTTAACTGACTATAAAAATGGAAAGAAACTACAACAGAAAAATGTTTAAAGACTTTTTTTTAGACTTCCACACAAGTGTTTTTAGTGGTAATAAAAGTGAGAACAAGGAAATCAGGACCCAAGAGAAAAATGCAATCTCAACTGTCATCTAAATTTTAAGCATCAGTGAGAAAAAGGAGGAAAAAAAAGGAGAGCAAGACTTACCTTAAAATCTGCCAGCTGCTGGTTGATGGCATCCACTTCAGTGCCCACAACCCACTGGAGTGCTTCAGCCTCCTCTGCAGCTGCCGTGGCATCATTGAGTGCTTTCAGTTTCCTATAGAAGTCCTCCACTCGGCCCAGGGTGAGCTCTAGCTGCTCCTGGCGAGCTTTCCCTCTCTCTGTCAGTTTACCACACTGTTTATTAAGGGCTTCTAGCTCCCTCTTGAGACCTAGTAAGTCCAAAGTCCCCTCTTCCTCCAACATTTTTCGACACTCTGCTTCAGAGTCCTCTATGTCGACCCTGAGGGCTTGGATTTTGTTAAGGAATAGCCGTACATCCTCAATTTGTGACTGGAGGCTATCCGTGTCTCTACCAATGGCTCCCATGCCATCTAGCTCATCATCCAGGTCAGCCAACTGAGAAAACATTTCTCGAACTCGACAGTGAAACTGCCCAATCCCCTCTAGCTTGGTTTCCATTGTCAGGCAACCACTGTTCACTCGCTGTTTCACTTCCAGGAACTCTTGCTGGGCGACCTCAGCTTGGTGCACAAGTGGGGAGGCATCAGATCCAGCTGGGGCGTCTTCCACCAGCCCCTGAGTGAAGTCCCTCAGGTAGTCTACCTGAGGCTCCAGGGCCTGCAGAACTTCTTGCTGAGCTCTTAGCTTCTCAAGATTCTTATTGCTACAGGCTTGAGAGCCCAGCGCATCGAAGATTTCAAGCTGGTGTTTGGCTCCTTCAACCTTCTTTTCAATATTCTTAAAGCTTTCCTGGAATTCCTTGAGCCTCTGAGTCATTTCTTCTAGAGAGCCCGTTTTGGCCTGTAGCTCCTCTGTAATGGCATCCATGCTCTGGTTGAGTCCAGCCTTCTCATCCCGGATCTCATCTTCATCTATTTCTGAAGAATTGATCAGAATGTCCGCAGCACTATTCAGTACTTCCAGCAGGGAACGGCGCTTCTCTGCCTCACTCAGCATTGCCTTTGACCTCAAGAGGCTGGCCTCCAACTGCACTGGATCCAAAGTAACCTGCAACTCAGACATCTTGGCCTTGCAATCTTCTATCCAGGGCACAAGGTCTTCCACATGCCATTGATATTTCTGAGCTTTCTGCATACAGTCCTTGAGCCTAGACTGTCGGTCTGCAGTTTTTTTACTAAGGTCTTCCCAGTGGCTTTTGAGTTCAACCAACTGATTTTGCAAAGTCTTTTTTTCTTCTCCAGGAGGCACAGAAAGCAGTAAAGATTCCCCCTCGGCCACAATCACCTCATAGGAACCACTGTGTTGATTAAGGTTCTTCTGAAACTCTTCATTCTCTTGTAGCTGAGACTGGAGTCGCTCCAATTTTGCAGAAATTGGGAAGATTTTTGCTTGCTGGCTTTGTTTTTCATCCAACCAGGTTCTCAGCTCATCAAACATTTGTTGGAATTGCTGGGTGCTGGCGAGAGCTGCCTGGAGTCTGTTCATGCGATCAGCTGACATAAGAAAATGAAATTAAAATCAATCAAGCCTGAACATGGGATATAAAATGTTTGCTAACAGGGTACGGTTTAATCTTAAGAACAGAAAATAAATATTGAGAATCTACTATCAAAATATGTATAAAGCCAGGTTCCTATATACATATTCAATCCTCTTATTAATCATGTAACATGACCTGACATGTCTAAGTCATAACATTTCCAGAACAGGAACAAGTCAATAACAAAGTTTTTCTTCAAAAAAAAAAAAAAAAAGTCCAAAATAGGGTAGAGAGATGACTCAGCAGTTAGGAGTACTGACTGCTCTTATAAAGGACTGACCCATGTTTGGTTCCCAATACCAACAAGGCAGTTCGCATATCCTTGTAACTCTAGTTCCAGGGGATTAGACACCCCTTCTTGGTCTCTACAGATACTACATGTAAGCAATGATAAAATTAAAAATGAAAAACTTAAAAATTGCAAAATACATTATTAACTTTGCATAATGGGGTCAAGGCTATGCATGCCCATCAACAACAAACAGAAAACAAGTGCTTCAGCTAAAGTGTGTATAGAACTCCACCCATTAGTGCATGCTTGGACACGAGCGCCTGCAGGCTAGCTGATGTAATGTTAGAGATTCTATCTCCAGGACTGTGTTCAGTTATGTGGAGTTCCATATATGCCAGTGCTCAATATATGCCAGTGCTCAATGGCTAATAACCACAACAGCTCTCATGATTACTGAAAGCAAGGCTAGGATGACATTATGCCAACCCTAAAAAGTGACTTAGGGTCACCCTGAAGTCTTGGCCTGCTGTGCTATTCTTCTGCTATTCTCACTTCAGCTCACCTGCAAGCTCTTCTAAGCCTTGGAGTGGCAGGGCAACTGTCTCCAAACGTTTCTTCAGCTCATCCTTGAGGTACTGCTCACCAATGAGCAGCGAGAGTTCATCACACAGTGTCTGAGCCTCCTTAATCTCATTGTCTAATTGTCCCAAGTCGGACCGAATCTCACTGGTCTCCTCTAGTTGCTGCTTTACAGCATCAGGTTGGGTGCTGATGGCTGACTGGCCACTCAGTCGCTGTCCAACTGCTTTCACCTTTTCTGATAAGTCCTGGAGCAACTCTTGGTACTGGGTACTTTTAACAATAGCTTGATCAATTTGGCTGGAACGGGAGTTAAGCTTGTCAGTGAGCTCAACCCACTTCTGATTGATGCTTTGGAGCTCTCTCTGCACGTGGCTGGTGGATGGAGAGAGATCCCCAGGCCCTGTTAGGAGGCCCTGAGCTGCCTCGTTCAGCTGCTCATGCTGCTGCCTTCGAGCTTCAAATTCCTTCAGCATAAACTGAAAGAGAAATGACACAGAGATGTTTAGACAGAGAAAACAGATCTAAAGGCAGTGTCAAAACAAAAACTGAGTTTGAATTGTGCCAGTCCATTTTGAAAATAAGCCATAAAACTCCAGGGACCAGACTACTAAGATGATGCAGCATTATCTTAAGAATTGCTTAATATGCTGGGCTATGGTGGTGTACTCCTTTAATCCCAGCACTTGAGAAGCAGAGGCAGGGGGATCTCTGTGAGTTCAAAACCAGCCTGGTCTACAAAGTGAGTTCCAGGATAGCCAAGGTAACACAGAGAAATCCTGTGTCAAAAAAACAAAACAAAATACAAACAAACCTGAGGAAAGAGAACCTTGTCTGGGGTAATGGAATCCACTCACCAGAAAAAGCACTCAAATCCAGACTCCATGATACCCATTTCTTTGCTCTAAGCGTTAAACTACATGGCTCACCTGGACCTGCTGTCTCTGTGCATTCAACATGTTGGGGTCAATAGACAGGGGTCCCAGAACTCCCATCATCAGTTCCTTCTCCATCAGCCAAGGGCGGAGCTGGGATTCTGCAGTTTGGAAGCAGGCCAGATGGCTTGCAGATTCCTCTAGCTGCTTTTGGCGAGCCACAGTAACCTCGGTGGCCTTTTCCCATCGGGAATCTGTTGAGAGGAAATGAGAGAATGCCGTTGGCCTGGTCTCTAAGCTGTACTCCTAACATACAAGAGGAAATGACATGAGCCATTATTCGACATTTTTAAAAATTAAAAATAACCTTAAAAATATTTAAGAACTAAAGTAATACAAATAGTTCTGTATTCATTGGGCTGTTAGTAATAAGAAACTACACTGATGAAAGTGAATGGAAGCACCCTGTCCCCCACAGGCTATAAGATGAATTACATAAATTATCTTGTGTTATTTATTTATTAGATAAACAATTATATACATAAAATATATATTCTTTTCATGAAAAGAAATCTTTGTAACAAATATCCACCTAAATTATGTGTAGTCAAATACTATGAACACACAATTTACTTATCTCTTTATTAGATTATTTCCCATTTCTCTTTTAATTTAATTTAATTTAAATTATGTATGTCAGTGTGAGGGTTTGTGCACATGAGTGCAGTACTCTTCAGAGGCCAGAGGTGACGGAGCGTGAGGTACAGAAGTCTGTGAGCTGCCTAGCATGGGTGTTGTAAACTGAACTCTGGTCCACTAAAAGAGCAGAATGTGCCTGTAACCACTGAGCCAGCTCTTGAACCCCAGGTTTGTTTTGTTTTTTTCTTTTTTGATACAAGGTCTTCCAATGTGGCCCTGACTGGACTAGAATTTGCTCTACGGTCCAGGCTGGTTCAGATTTATAGGGAACCACCTGTTTCTACCACCAGGTGCTGGAATAAAGGTGTGGGCCACCACTTCCCACTTTCATTTTTATCCTCAATATTCTCTTAAACTTCTGATCAGAGTAGACTACCAGCTTGACTTGTCCTAGAAAACCAGATTTCTGTTGACTTAATTTCTAGAATTTTCCCGATCCAGGCAGTTTTCTGGTCCTAGAGAAACAGAGACAGGCCTCTGCTTGCTCTCAGAAGTTAACTGAAACGAACCCCAGCTTTACAGGGACTGACGTTTTCAATTTGCTTTGGAGACAAGATATTTTAAGTATAAAACATTCCTGTGATGACTTACTGAGCTCTTCTTGCATTTTTTTCCAATTTTCTGCTTCTTTTGAGTTGGGATATGTCCTCAGTAATCCAGCCAGAGCTTCCTTTACTTTCTGGATCTTAGGGGAATTCTGTTCCAATTCAGTCAGGAAAGCCTAGGAGGAAGTATATCATACATGCCTTGAGATTCTGGGGGCAGAAACCCGGCTTTGTGTGTGGTAGAAATGACTGGGAGACTGAGTGGATGGGAAGTCTCACTTGTTCTGGCCCTGTGTGTGGCTTGTTTCATGAACTTAGCTTCAGTATTGACTCTACAATGAAAGTGACAAGATCTGAGTTCATTTAAGCACAACATGTCAATAAAACTCAACTAAGTAAGGACCATCACTTCTTATTAATTGGAAGTGCCAAGGTAAGATTAAGATAATGGCAATATCTTGGTAGTTGGAGAGCTGACATACCATAATCAATTGGGATATTTAAAATTTTGGAGAAAATTTTCATAAGAAAAATTTTATGTTCTTATATTTTCTGATAATCTCTTTAGTCCACATTTCAAATTTTTTAAAACACTAAAATTATTATGTAAGCAAGTATTTGTCTGCTGTATTTATGTATGCCTGTTGCCAGAGAAAGCCAGAAGAGGAAGCTGGATCCCATACAACCAGCTGTTGTAGACAGCTGAGTTGTGAGTAGATGGTTGTGAGATACTATGTAAGTGCTGGTATCTGAACCTGGGACTTCTGCTAAGCCATCTCTCTTTACATTTCAATCTTAAGAATAAATAAATAGGCAAAATTTTTTAGGTTCTCCTTATAATTGTAAAGATGCATAAATGAGAAAAGCTTGGCTATCTGGTAGCATTACATGGTAAACAAGACTCGATTCTCCATGAGCTAATAATGTGAAGGGCGGGGGGGATCATTCCTCTTTCTGCAAACATGTCTTTTTTTCCCCCGTTTTGAATCTGAATTATAACAACAGTTAACAAAAATTCTCAAGAAGACTTGAGTGAGGTATGTTAAAAAATGAGGGCCAACATACCACCAATTACAGTCAGGAACTGTCCCCATTTAGGCTCAGTCCTAAGACTGGACAGGAGCACCCGTACTGCTGGAATGCAGTTCACGGTAAACACAGTACCTTGTTAGATTCTGCTTGGGCTTTTACTGTTTCTGTCTTGGTTGGAGACAAAGAGGCATCCATGGCTTTCAAATTTTCCTCTTTTGATTCTAACCACTGTAATACAGAGCTTGCTTCTTTCTGAACCTCGTCCATTCTGCTGAGGACAGCCTGAAGGCTTTCCTGGCGTTCTCGAAGGATTTCTCCCAGTTTCTCATACTTGGAATTTACATCAGACATGTCACACTGGATTTCTGTAAGATCTAGTATCAGAGAAAAAACAATGAGATTGGTAATACTGCTCTCCCCTTCATTTCTCATTCCTAAATGATTTGTCAGTATAAGCACCTCTTCTAATTCTTCTAGTCAACTAGTAATTGTCTTCCTCCAAATCACATCAAAGCTCCTGTTTAAATACACAAAGTAAAAGAACCCCTATTAATCTGCTTTCTGGCTTTGACATTTTACACAAAGATATATGCCATAAAATGATGAATAAATATAGGAAGGACAGAGTGAGGAAATGAAATAAGATGTCACTAAAGCATACTTCTGGGATTAATCAACCTGAAACATTCTTCTCCCTCTTCTTCTAGCTGCTGAGAAATAGTTTGACACTATTTCAGCAGGAGACTGAGGGTGGACTAGCTTTGTTCCATTTTGAGACAGTCTGATATAACCAAGGCTAGTGAAAGCCTGAACTCCTAATTGTCTTGCCTCTACCTTCAAGAGCTGGGTTTATAGACCAATACCACTGTATCTGGCTTAAGAATACTTCTTTATAACTCATAGATCCATATACACTTTATAGAAGGCCTTTCCTTGCTGACTGGATCTGGTGACCTAGTATCTTTGCTCAGAACTTTAGTTCCAGGATGCCAACCTGTTTAGCCTATAGCCAGCTAACAGGGAGGCACCACAGTTGATCCTCTCCAGATTTTCACCATCCTCATGCCATCATTTTCACCATCATTCATGCCCCTCCTGGCAGCTGTTAATTTACACATACTGGAACACATACATAGCAGACATGAACACTAACACATCCAACAAGGAGGCACTGTTGAAATGAGTTCTCACCTTTGCAGGTGTGGTATCCGTTTACACTGCCTACAGAGCTTCCTACAGAGGGTGGTATGGAACCTGAGCAGAAGGACAGGGAGACAAACAGGGCAAGACCAACGTGTTAGGAATACATATAGGCACAGCATTTCTTTTTTTTCTGGCTTGCATTTTTGAGCTTGGGTTATCAGAAAGCTAACACAACACAAGACAACAGCTCATGGAGACAGGTCACTTTAGCTGTCAGGCAACAAAGTGTCACTTGTGATATTTCAGTTCCTCTGCAGTATGATTTGTAGTTCTTTCTATAGAAATAACAATTCATCTTAAATCTTCACCTTGGATCTCTGGAAACCTTTCTTGATTTTGGAAAACAAGTATTGCTAAAACAACTAAGTCTTCAGAATGGTATCTGCACATTTGGAATAAGGATTTATAATAAAGTTAAAACATTACCTTTAATATCAGAGTCTGTCATTGTAAAAAAAAGTGAGCACAGAGCACAATTAAGAACATAAAAAGTAGAGTTACTAAAATGCCCTCCTTATGTTGTTTCTCTAGGAAATTTTTTATCTTTTTCTTCACGGCATTTTTTGGCTCTACTTCCTCTATTAGAAAACTGATTAAAACATTGAGAAATATGGCCCATAAGCATTCTAAAAATTCTCCTTTGGGCATCTGGTCCTGTTTCTAATTGCCACAGTTTCACCTATATTCTTCTTAAATTTCTTCCTTTTACTTTGGAGACCTTTCTAAGTATATATCAGTTTATGGAATTATTAAGATTATAGAGAAATCAAGAGAAATATTCATGACATAATGCTGAATTGAAAGGACAGAATCAGACTGTGATTATAACTCAGAGGTAAAGCACTTGCTTGGCACACACCAAACCCTAGTTTTTATCTCCAGTACTAAAAAAAAGAGGGTGGGGCAAAAAGAGGGCAGGGAAACACTTCTCTATGTACTTTTTACATGGTGCTAAGTGTTATCTAAGATTAAACTGAAAAGTAGTTGTTAGATTGGTAGGTAGGTTTCTTAACTATTAATATTCATGTATTTTCAATTAAAAATGGAACAAACAGAAAACCATTTTCCATTGCAATAATGTAATCATGGAAAACAAACTAGACTAGTCATGAGGAGAGAGTCCTGGTCAAGACTATCACTAACTCATATGTGAGTCTTAATCTGTGGGCAGCTTTAGTTTCTTCTGCTATGACAATCAACACATACTGCTTTTGTGAAGAATGGACAGCTCTTGCTATTTCAGTAACAGGTGTGTGTGTGTATATTTTTAAAAGTATTTTTTCAGTGTCATTGATTGTAAAAGCCTTTTGTTAGTATTTTATAATATTGAAACCTGTATATGAAAACTGCTGCATAGTACTATACAAAGGAAAACAGCAATAGCACATGGAGAACATGACAAAACCAGTTATATATAAAAAAGATCAAGCAAATGCTCATTAGGACAGAACTGTATAATCACAGAATTCTCAACATTCAGGGTCATAAAGATGTCAACTTTGAGGTAGCTTTTGTCATTAATGTTAGTTTTAGGTGTCTTCTGTGTTTAAAAAAAAATTGAATCCCTTATTAGATTTTTTAGTGGCTTACCTTGGAAACAATAATTCCCTGCCCCCTACATCATTTTCAGTATAATTTAATAGTATTCTAACAGTGAACTGTTAAAAACATACGTCAACATTTGCAACTACTTGATTGTATGAACCACATTTTATGGATAAGATACCAAATACAATACCACACAATGAAGCAGTCATCCAATAATACTACTTCAAATTTTTTATATATTCATTAAGGCCGATTCAATAGTCTCACTAACATTTAGAACCTAACACACATGAAGCCTTGGGTTCAATCCCCAGCATCACTTTAGAACCCCCAAACAGTCATTAGATCAAATAAACAAAATTCCTAACGAAGGTACTTTATTTTTGAGACAGGGTTTCTCTGTAGTTTTTGGTGCCTATCCTGGAACTAGCTCTTGTAGACCAGGCTGGCCTCGAACTCACAGAGATCCGCCTGCCTCTGCCTCCCGAGTGCTGGGATTAAAGGCGTGCGCCACCACCGCCGGGCGAAGGTACTTTAAAAAGCATGAAAAACAACCAATTTAGACCAGGAGCCATCAAATCATCAAATCATAGCCCAGTGGACAATTATAGCCCTTTTTCTGTTTTTAAAAATAAAAACATTATTTGGAACATTGCTACACCATCATTTAAATTTTGTCCATGGCTGCTTTTATGCCATAGCAATAGAGGTATATAAGAATATGGTCTGAAAAAAAAAAGAAAAAAAAAAGAAGAAAAAAAAAAAGAATATGGTTTGTAAAGCTTTTTACTATCTGGATATTTACAGAAACAAGTCACTGACTTCTAATCTAGCCACATGCTGATAATTCACCAAAAAAGAGGTTCATACATTAGAGCACTACTTCTTTTTAGTTGTTGCTGTTGTTTCTGAGAAAAGTTTATATACAGCCTTATCTCCTAGGTGACTGAGAGTAACCCTTAACTATAGAATTCACTTCCCTCTAGCTGCTAAGTTCTGGTATTACAGGCATGTACCACTAAAACCGGCTTTGGAGTAAAAACCGGCTTCTTAAAACTGTGGGAATCCAGACCCACGCAGTTGGGTATGTCTTACTATCTTCTGAATACCTTCTTCATAATTCTTGAGTTCAAGCCTACATTAAAATATCTTTCTTAAAGTCCAACTCTATTTCACTGAAATAATAACAAAGAGCAAATATATATGAAGTCCTATATTAGACTATACACATAATCTGTTCTCTGAAATGTTACGTCTGGAGTGTTCAAAGAAATAGTTAATTTTAAAGTATTAATAGCCAGGTGTGACGGCTCTAACCTTTAATTCCAACATCTGAGAGTCAGAGGCAGACAAATCTCTGTGATTTCAAAGCCATCTTGGTCCACACAGTGAGTTCCAGGCTAGCCAGAAGTACACAGTGAGACCTTGTCTTAAAAAGAAAAATAAACTACTACACGCTGGGTGGTGGTGGTAGGACACCTTTAACCCCAAAGTGAGCTGAGGACAGCCAGGGCTGTTACACAGAGAAACTCCATCTTGAAACACCAAAAAAACCCGAAAAAAAAAAAATACCCCTACATGGGCCCGACAGTGGCGCCTGTCTCTGCCTCCCAGCACTTATGAGAGTTCAAGGCCAGTCTGGTTTACAAAGCAAGTTCCAGGACAGTCTGTACAGGACTGAGAAACCATCTATAAAAACAAAACAAAAAAACCTTTACTGCTCAAAACAGGAAAAGCCCCCAAGATGAAAAATAACTCTATATTCTTTGACAGCTCAAGTGGGCCCACAGGCTCAGATATACGAACTTTGTAAAATGGAGCAGCATTGTTTAGCAGGGCAAGAAGCAGGTAAAAATAAGAGAACATGGTCTTGTGGGTCTTCTTTCTTCCCATATTCAACTTTGATTTTTAGTTTAGTTAAACAAAAAGGCGTCTCCAGGGGCTACAAGCTGAGTAGTGCATGTAGTCATCCCATTTTGAAGAACCTGTACTCACCTGTCTTAGCTTGGGAATCAGGTGCTGTGATCTCCATGATGAGATTTTCTAAGGAACTCCCCTTACAACTGATTTCTTCCACCAGAATCCCCTTACTTGCCCAGTCATCTAGAAGACCCTGTTAAAGAACCAAATTGGTAAATGTAACATCTGGCCTTTTCCTTCCTCATCAGTAGGGAGAGCTGTTACAGACATAGTCCCTACCATTTTATTTTATGTGTAAGAGTGTTTTGCCTGCATATATGTGTGTGTATGTGTATATATATCTATAGATACACATATGCCCATGCGCATGTGCACACACAAACACATACACATTCCATGTGCATCCCTGAAGAAGGAATTAGATTCCCTAGGACTGGAGTTACAGAGGGTTGTGAAACACCATGTGGGTGCTGGAAACCAAACCTGGGTCCTCTCAAGAGCAACAAGAACTCTTAACTGCTGAGCCATCTCTCCAGTAACTCCCTTACCACTCTGACAAGAAACTATGCTTATGCTGGGTGTAGTGGCACACACCTTTGATCCTAGTACTTTGGAGGCAGAAGCAGGAGGGTCTCTGTGAATGCAAGGCCAAACTGGTCTACAAAGGAAGGGGACTGGAGAGATGTTTCAGAGGTTAAGACCACTGGCTGCTGCTCCAGAGATCCTGAGTTCAATTCTCAGCATCAACATTGTGGTTCACAACCATCTGTAATAAGATCTGGTGCCCTGTTCTGGCCTTCAGGAATACATGCAGGCAGAACACTGTATACATAACTAATAAATAAAAACAAAACAAAAACAAACAAACAAAAAGAACAAAGGAAGGAACGAATGAATGAAACAAACAAATGAACAAAAAACCCTAAGCTTATGTACTCAGCCATTACAAGATACTGGCTTAGTCAGTCAAGAAATGCAAAAATGATACTCTAAAATTTTCAAAAATTTCTGTTTTATTTGGTCATATATCAAATATTTATTGACTAGGCAGCACACCAACACTGAGGACACAAAATAAAATCAAGAGGATTATGACATAGTTCCCTTTTGACTTATTTAATTTTATATTTTAGGATTTTTTTTTCTTTTTCTGTTTCTTCTTTTTTTTTTTTTGTGATGAGGGTCTTACATATTCCAGTCTGCCCTCATTAATTTTTTTAAATTGTTGTTAGTTTTTTGGAATAGGGTTTTTCTGTGTAGTCCTACCTGCCTTGTAGAGCAGGCTGACCTAAAATTTACAGAGATCCACCTGTCTTCCAAGTACTGGGATTAAAGGCGTGTGCCACCAATGCCCGGCTTGGCTTTTCTTTTTTAAAATAACAACAAAAATGGTCTTATTATGTAATGCTGGTTGTGTAGTACTCCCAGTATAGACCAGGCTGACCTCAAACTCACAGAGACTCACCTGCCTGTCTCACAACAGACATGAAAGGTTATGTACCATCTCGCCTGGACTTGTTTTTGGTTTTTAAGAAAGTGTCTTACTATGTAGCCCAGGCTGACCTCTTTAAGTTTCTGCCTTAGCCTGAGTACTGGAACTCCATATCTGATTTTATGACATAGTTCTGAGTTCGGATTATAATGCAATAAATGCTATTATAGAAATATGTATAGTTAATGAACTCTGAGGCCATAAGAGGATACCCAGGGGAGGGAAGCATTGAGTGATGATATCAATTTGTAAACGTAAAAAAGAAGAGACTGGCAGGCAGTCACTGCTTGTCAAACTAATCACTCTTAATTGTAGGGTTTCATACTTAATATGATGTGCAGACATGGAGAATACTTAAGAATTTTCAGGGAAGCTGAGCAGTGGTGGTGCACACCTTTAATCCCAGCTAGTTCCAGGACAGGCTCCAAAGCTACAGAGAAACCCTGTCTCGAAAAACAAACAAACAAACAAACAAACAAAAAAAGTGATATTTGTTGAACACCATGTTGGATCTGAGTACTTAGTATGTGGAATTATTAGGTTGTATTAGGATTAAAATTTTTCTTGAAACACTAAGGGCCCTATGAACTAATAAAGTTGAGGAACCTCTTCTTCTCCTCTTGGTCATTATTATTATTATTATTTTGGTTTTTCAAAGCTTTTCTCTATGTAACAGCCCTAGCTGTCCTGGAACTAGTTCTTGTAGACCAGGCTGGCCTTGAACTCACAGAGATCCGCCTGCCTCTGCCTCCCAAGTGCTGGGATTAAAGACGTGTGCCACTACTGCCAGGCTCCTTTGGTTATTCTAACAGCAAATTCTCTTAGCTTCCATTCTATGAAAATAACCAGATTTTTCTCTTTCATCTGCTCTTGATTCAGCTTGCTTTGCTGAGAGAAATGACAAACACATGACAGTTATTTGGTCAGATCCTGTGTGAGTATGAGTCAATGTGAAGGACTAGTTCCAGCCATGAAAGGTCTTCCAAGGCTGTGTTTTTCACTTCTGATGAGCTAGAGAAGTTCTAGCTCTTTTCACCAAGGCTGCTGACCCAGTGTCTGGTCAGTTGCTCATATGGAGCTCTCTAAATCTCAAGCATGACTAATGATAATTCTCAACCACAAGATAAAAATGTAAGCTTCTCAAGAAATGGAATTTTGCCAATCTTTTCTATAAAGTATTTTAAATTTCTTATTATGTCATGAGAGGCACCTAAGAAATAGCCTGTGGTAGATTAGGGAAACCATGTTTCAAGTAACAGACTGACAGGAATTTCTCCAGCTTCTACTTCCGAATTTTGAAATTAAAACCATGTGTCACCATGATTGACTTTGTTTTTGGTTTTGAAATAGGAAACTTTGCTGTGCTCAGTTCTAGGTAGGCATATGGAACCACATGAAGAAGGGAATTCTGGTGTGGACAGATAAATTGGATTTTTCATGCTACCTCCCTACTGTATCTGGAGTTCAGTTTGTATACACTTTCAAACTACTCTCTAGCCAGACTCCTGGAGACCTTTTGTTTACCTACATTCAAGTGTTCAATCTGCTTTTCCAATTCCTTAGTACTCATGAAAGTATCTACAGGTGGAACATTTCCTTCAGTTTCTTTCAGCCATTTCTGGAAGGTTCTAATCAGCTTCCGGAATTCATCCAACTGCTCCTGGCAAGTTGATGCATCTTTCTCTCTGTGAACAAAAATGTTTTGTTACTCATTAGATTAAGATTTATAAAATGGACTTGAACTAAAATTAGGCTCATCCTGGGACTCTAGGCACCAATTTCCTAACAGGGTCCTTCCTTTCCACAGTAAGGTTGGCTGTATACACAATGTAGAAAAGCATCAAACTCAAGACTCTATTGCCCTTCTTTGGACATTTTTAGGGAAAGAAGTCTTTAATCTTACTCTAGGCTAAAGTGAAAGTGAGAAAGCTAAAGGGAGCCTGCTATTTAGGCTGTGATACAATGGAAAGAATGTTGCCTTTGGAGCTCCAGTCAAGCTCTGTTACAGTTCAGTTGTTTCAAGAACTAATTTAGGGGCTGGAGAGATGGAGAGAGTAGGTAACAGCATTAACTGCTTTACCAGAGGACTTGGCTTTGGTTCCAATATGGTGGTTTACAATCACCTGTGATTTTCATTTCAGAAGCTGCCTTTTGGCCTCTGAGGGCCTGTATGTATATATGTGTTAAATATAAACTCATGCAGGTGTACACACACACACACGAGTCTTAAAAAAAATCTCATGCTGGGGAGATGGTTCTGCGGTTAAGAGCACTGGCTATTCTTCCAGAGGACCTGGGTTCATTTCCCAGCAACCACATGGAAGTTCACAGCTGTCTGTAACTCCAAGATATGACACCCTCACATAGACATAGAAGCACACACACACACACACACACACACACACACACACACACACACAAAGGCTGGAGAGTGGTTAAGAGCATTGCCTGCTCTTCCAAAGGTTCTGAGTTCAATTCCCAGCAACCACATGGCGACTCACAACCATCTGTAATGAGGGTAATGAGGTCTGGTGCCCTCTTCTGGGCTGCAGACATATACATAGACAGAATATTCTATACATAATAAATAAATAAACTTTAAAAAAAAAGAAGAAATCTGACTTGAGTACTGAATTTAAGGCTCATGGAAGTTAAATGATTGGCTATAGGCTACACATGCCCATAAATAAAATAAGGAATGGACATATCAGGGATCAATTCAGAGATTCTGGTTCTCCTGTAGCTTCAACAGTTGAGAAGACAAAAAGCCCTCTTGGCCTTTGTCCTCAACCAAGCCACTCAATCTGCTGCTAAGTATTTATTTTTGAGACAGGGTCTCTTATAGCCTATGCTGGCTTCACACTAGTTACATATGTAGCCAAGTTCGGCTTTGAACTCCTGATCATTCTGTTTCTACTTCCTGCTGGCTGAGATTACAAGCGCACATGGCTCTAAGTATTGGTTTGAGTAAGTTTTCCTCTAGTCATCATAAATCAATATTGCATTTGCATCTAAACCAAGTAAGAATTCATGACATTAAATCCATGTGAGACTCCTAATGGGAAATCGTGAGTAATCTAACAGTAAACTAAAATCGGCAAGTATTTGTCATACATTCCTGCATCTGTGCTAAAAGAAGAATCTGGATGTTTCTCTTAAATAACTTAACATTACCCAAAAGACATTGACAAGTCATATGTATGTGTGCTTGTCTATATGTGCACCATGTGCCCACAGAGGCCAAAAGAGGGCACTGGATTCCTTGAAATTATACTGTGGATGCTAGCAACCAAACATTGGTCTTCTGAAAGAATAGCAAGTGTTCTTAACTGTTAAGTCACCTCTTCAGTCCATGAATAAAACTCATAATCATATCTAGGAAGTCTCTAGTTTTAGTGTTTATTTTAAATTCAGTTGTAATCCTACTTACTATTCCAAATTTGTTCTGTTTGCTTCAGGTGACCTGGGTTTTTGGTCATTCAGACCTGATACTGAGAAGAATCAATTAGTAATAGATGTTGTAATTTGAAAGAAGTGGCTTTGGGGGAGGGCCTTGGACTTCCCACAGGGCAAGGTACCCTGCCTTCTCTTAGGACTGAAGGGGGGGGAGGATGAGTGGGGGAGCAGGAGGGAAATGGGAGGAGGGGAGGAAGTGGAAATTTTGAATGGTATGATTTATAAAGCAATAAAAAAAAAAAGAAGTGGCTCATCAGAGAAAGATGCCATGTGACAGAGCTCAGGTGGAGGGGTTCATATTGGGGAGGAAAATGAGTGGAAAGAGGGGGAAGGAGAGGGAGACCAGCCTCTGGGGATAGGAGTGGGAGAAGAGAAGAGAGAAGAGAGAGAGAGAGAGAGAGGAAGTTGGCAGGGTTCTTTTAAAGGGGAACATAGTGAATGTGCACAGGAGATGCTCTTAGAGGCTACAGTTGAGGATGGATACCCCAAGGTCAGGCCAGTACAGATGCCTGAATACTGACAATAGAGAGCAATAAGCATGAAGTGTATTGGGTAACTTAACTAAAAAAGAAACCTTTTTTAAAAAAAGGGGGGGGGGAAGAGGGTAGCCTTGGCTGTTCTGGAACTAGCTCTGTAGACTAGGCTAGCCTCAAACTCAGAGAGATCTGTCTGACTCTGCTTCATGAGTACTGGGATTAAATGCATAAGCTACCACTCCTAGGAAAGGAGGTCCTTTTTGATGTATAGGCTCAGTAGCAGAGTTTTGGACACAACTTTTTATGGTAAGGAAGTAAGATCATCTCATCCCACAGCAAGACAAGACTAGTTCTGTATCAATGACCAAGCCAGATGAGCACTCACCTTTCTTGAACTGTCTTCTGCAGCTCTGTAAAATCCTTTTTGAGTGTCTGTATCTTGTCCTGGTGCTGAGACAGGTCCAGTGCAAAGCCAGAGGAGCCCAGTGCAGTAACAAGGTGTTCAAGAGTATCTAGGTTCTCCTTTTGGTCTTCCATTTCCAAAGTGAGCTCCTGTTGAGCAAGAAACATATTAAATTATTTGACCTATTATCTTACTTTTAAAAAAATCTTTCTGTGCACATGTGTGTTTGTATGTACATATCTCATGGTTTGTGTGTTCTTATGTGTGAGTGTGGGCATGCACATACCACATTGTGCATGTGGAGGTCACAGGACATCCTCAACTGCAGGTCTTCACTTTCTACATTGTTTGAGATAGGGACTCTTGCCCCACCCCCATCCCCCGCTGCATATGCCCAGGCTAGCTGGCCCATGAACTTACAAGGATTCTTTTGTTTTTACCTCCCATACCCCTGTAGGAGCACTGGGATTACAGAAGCAAACTTGCATTCAGTTTTACATGCAAAAACAAAACAAAAAAAACTTTCGATTCTATTTAATATGCGTGTGTTGTGGTAGAAATAATAGCACAATTTCAAAATTTTATATATATAGTATATGAGGTTGTTGGAACCCAGGATTCTCCCTACAGGAAAGGAAGATACAAATGTGGAATAAAGGAAGAATCCTAAAGTGTTGTGTTTCTATTGGATAATTAGCATGATTTCATGATGTATTCCCCAAAATATCTGATGACAGAACTTAGAAGCAATATCCTAGTAGTTTATCTATTTTATTTAGTGTCTAGATTTTGGTTTCTAACCATTATTCCCTACCAAAAGCAGGGCTTCTTCATGAAAACAACTGGTTTCAGATATGAGACAAGGAAATTAGAAAGTACTCCTATGTTGATGCCAATAGGTCAAAAGGACATAAGAACACAGCTTAAGGGGGCTGAAGAGATGGCTCAGAGGTTAACAGCATTGCCTGCTCTTCCAAAGGTACTGAGTTCAATTCCCAGCAACCACATGGTGGCTCACAACCATCTATAATGAGGTCTGGTGCCCTCTTCTGGCCTGCAGCACATACACAGACAGAATATTGTATACATAATAAATAAATAAATAAATATTTTTTTTTTAAAAAGAACACAGCTTAAAGGTGATCCAACTGACTGAATTAGGTGAAACTTTTGCATACTACAAATAATGAATAATACTCATAATTAAACTCTCTATGATATTTTTATAAAGAGATAAAATAATTAGCAATTGGTGAATCAAGGAAGGCCATTACTTGTCGAGCCATTCCTACTTTACTACAAAGTCTAAAATGACTCAAAATAAAACTAAAAAATTTAGGAACCAAAACAAAATATTAAGATCCTACTTAGAAAATGGAAAAAAGAAAATTGGGTAGGGCTGGTGAAATGACTAAGCCGGCATAGGTACTTTCTCTCAGGCCTGATGTGGTGGTTTGAATGGGAAATGTCCCCCATAGGCTAAGGTATCTGAACACTTGGTTCCCATTTGGTGACACTGCTTGGGTAGGTGTAGGAGGTATAGTCTTGCTGGAGGAGGTGCATCACTGAGGGCCACTTCTGAGAGCTTAAAGCCTTTACCCACTTCCAGTTCTCTCTCTGCGTCATGCTTGTGACAAAGGCTATAAGCTCTGATGCCTGTTCTAGTTACCATGCCTGCTGTTTGCTGCCACCTGTCCCTGCTATGACAGACCCTTACTCCCTGGAACCTTAAATGAGCCAAAGTCAACTCTCCTTCTTTAGGCTGTGTTGGTTACGGTATATCATCACAGCAACAGAAAAGTAATGTAGAAACCTGGTACCCTGTACCACATGGTGAAAGAGGAGGACTACGCTAACTTGCAATCCCTTCCCAATGAATGAAATGTGAAAAATAAAAGAGTACACTGAATAAACAAGGCAATAATGTAGGAATGTATGTGAGGTACTACAGATGCGAATGTAGGCTATCTAGAAATTCTGGAACTCAAATTGGCCACTCCTTACTCAGGTTAAGTGTATACATAATATTATGACCCAGAAATTGTACTCCTAGGTATTTATTAGTGGTAGTTGATAATATTTTTACCTATTACTTCCAGTTCTGCCACTTTTAGATATATTGTAGGACTATTTTCCAACATCTTTGAAAGTTGGGTATGGGTATTTTAGCTGGTCTCTGATAGTACTTAAAACCTGCTTTGACTAATGAAATATAAATGGTTATGCTATGCACTCTTCCTCTTAAGAGACGAAACCATCAAAGCACATGTCAGAGTGCATATGGTTATAATTACAGTGAGCTGATGAACCTGCTGATTTGTGAATAACCTTATATAGCAGAAGTGAAAAAAAAATCCACACTTTTTCAGAATGGACAAACAACTTCTAGTTCACAAGCTGGGTCTCATAATTCAAAGGCAATGAAAGTAAAGTTTCCAGCATTACTGACAAAGTCTGTGTTAGGTAAATGCTAGCTCTTTTCTTGCCCTTCCTTTTATCATACCAAGATGGCAGGTATGTTTCCTTACCTGGATCTGCTGGGAGAAATGTGCAATATCTTGATCTGGCTGATTTCCAGAGGCCAGCATTCGACTTTTGCTTTCCATGAACTGCTGAAGCTTACTGGAGAGCTGTTCGAACATCTCTGCCTGGGGCAGGAGCTTCTTTAGGGTGCTCTCCTTTTCCTGCTGCTGGCGCTGGAGCTGCTCAAAGCGCTGGCTCACCTCTGCCAGTTTGCCCTGCAGCACTGAGGCTGTGGTGCTGTCAGCAGTCTCCATGAACTGAGTGACCATCTCATGGGTGGCTTCCAAGCTGCTTTTTTGTCTAGCAATGTCTTGTTTCAGTTTCTGTCATCAAGAATGAGTCTGTCAGTTAGGGCTTTGTTACTCTAATATATCTGAGTCATTAATCAATAACTTTTAATAACTCCATGATCAATGAGATTGGAAGACTGTATGAACCCGAAGAACGCTACATCCTTTTAGTTCTCTATCCATCTCACCAAATCACTTTGATCCCATCACTTTTCTTTGGGTTCAACAGAGGTTTGGAAATCAGGGAGAAAAATTTTTCTCTCTTTTTTGTGGTGCTGAGGATTGAAGTTGTCCATGTTAAGTGTGTGCTCTATCACTGAGCTACACTCCCACTCCTAGTGGCAGAAATATCTGCATGGATTAGTCAACACCTGTGAGCCTTTTAGAAGATTCCTGGTTAAGAATTATTCTCCTGTTACTTTTTCAAAGTTATATTATTACAGAAAAGACAAACACATCCTCTACTGTAACACTCAGGACAAAATCTTACCATGTTGTTGGCCAAGACTTCTTGGATGACCCCTGATGAGAGTGATGCCACCTGCTCCCCTTCCAGGTTTTGTTCAACTTCCCTCATGGACTGCAACAGGTTCTCTAGGCTTTCCTGAACACTCTGAGATTGAGCAATTGCCTTCTGCAGCAGAGCAGAGCGCTCAGCCAAGCTATAGGAGAGGCTCTGGAAGCGACTGAATATGGAATCTGGAAGAACAAAGCCATAAGAAGAAACATTGGATACTATTTTTATAAGGTGTTTTGAAGAATAAAAAGCTCGGTGTGGTGGGACATGCCTGTAATCCCATTACCTAGGAGACAAGAGGCAGAAGAACTTGGAGGCCACTCTGAGCTACACAGTGAGTTCAAGGCTAGGTAGGATACATATATAACAAGTCTCTTGATGTGGGATTTCCCTCTGTACGCTATGAATATGCTTTATTATCACTGGTTAATAAAGAAGCTGCTTTGGCCTATGGCAGGACAGAATATATGTAGGTAGGAAAACTAAACTGAATGCAGGGACAAAGTAGGTAGAATCAGGTAGACTCCATGTAGTTGCTGAAGGAGAATGCCAGTCAGTCACCAAAGGAACAGGACATGTACAAAATAAGGTAATGCCACAGCCACATGGTAATACATAGGCTAATAGAAATGGCTAGTTTAAGATGTAAGAGCTAGCTAGGAGCATGCCTAAACCATTGACCAAACAGTGTTGTAATTAATATAGTTTTAGTGTAATTATTCGGGTCTGGGTGGCCAGGAAAAGAACATGCAGTCTCCATTTACAGTCTCTGGTATCAGAAAGGAAGGAAGAAAGGAAGAAAGGAAGAAAGGAAGGAAGGAAGGAAGGAAGGAAGGAAGGAAGGAAAGAAAGTAGTATATGTCTTTAATCCCAGCATTCAAGATGCAGAGGCAGGTAGGTCTCTGTAAGTTTGAGGTTCCCCAGCCTATATAATGAGTACCAGAACAGTCATTGTTACATAGTGAGACCCTGCCTCAAATACAAAATGAAACAAAAATCAAACAAAATACGCAAAAAAGCAGAAGTATTTAAATTGCATACATTAATTAAAAATAATTGACATTAAAATAAATGGAATATTTTTGAAGTATATTAGTATAGGAGCCAAATTCAATAATTAGTTATTTGGCATTCAGTAAGAGCCAGGAATTATGCAATATGTCAAGGACTAAAGATAGTTAAGATAAAGTTCTGGTCTTAACAAAATGAAGACTGCAAATCAGCACTGATAGAAGAGATATAACAACTAACTATAAAAAGCCCTGATTACTGTACCGGTACTAGAAGCTGTTCTAGAGGAACTCACAATAATTATTTCTTATTTTTTGCTTTTTGAGTGACAAGGTGTGGTGGTTTGATGAGATGTTCTTTCATGAGTCTTTGACACTTGAATACTTGATCCCCAGATGGGAAGACTAGGAGGATGGCTTTGTTGTGAAAGTGTGTCACTGAGGGTGGTTTTATTTAAGGCCCCAAAAGCCTCCTGACATACTCAGTGCACTCTCTCTGTGTATCTTGCTTGTGGTTCAAGCCATGAGCTCTCAGCTCTTCCTGCCAGCACGACTTTGTTCTGCCATTTGGGACTCTGGCCCTCTAGAACAATAGACCCAATTAAATGTTTCCTAAATAAGTTGCCTTGGTAGTGGTGTTTTATCACAGCAAAGCAACTAAGATACTGGGTTAATGGTTAGGATTTGACAAAGGCCATAAAATCTCAGCTTTGTCTCTTTTCCTTCCTCCCCTTGACTCTTGGCAAATAAAAAGGATAGATATTTATGGCACACAAATCATATTTTAGAATGTACACACATTATGAAATGACTGCATCAAGTTAGTTAACATGGTTACTTCACGTACTTAGCACTTTTCATGGTGAAAACATTTAAAAATTCACCCTCTTAATAATTTTCAAATATATAATGCATTGACTAAAGCCATCATGCTGCACCTTTGGCTAAATCTTGAAAAATGAACAGAATTTCATCACTAGGGGAGAACCCAATGAAATAAATGTTAGGTAAGAAACAGGAGAAACTTCAAAGGCAGTAAAACTTGGGAATGGCAAGTTTACTTAGAAAATGTAAGAAGCACGGAACAAGTAGACAGCAGATACTGAAAGGGTTGAAGGCAGTGGGTAAGAGAGTTCACTGGAGAGTGAGCTCTGTCCCCTGCCCTTATCTTAGTGCTCTTGATACCTGCTGACACCGAGTGCTATGTACTGCAAACCAAAGATCACAGTAGACCTAAGGGGGTAGGAGTACCGCTGATACCTGTAGTTTCTTGAATAGGCCTACGGTCCAGGGCTGGCTCTCCTTCAATTTCCATTAGGTCATGGGCTGCTTTCTGAAGCTTCTCTACAGGGACTTGGTGCTCAGCCAGTTCTTCCTGTAACTGCTGCTTGTCCAAAACAAAAGCAAACAAACAAACAAAAAACAAAACCCCCACATTTCAGTGAGTAATTTAAGGTGATTCTATTAACCTAAAATAGTAGCCAACCTTATAGAAATTTCTATTTATCCACAGACATAGATATTAAAGAATTTATGAATCAGATCTTGCTTAAGCTACCTCAACTAATGCATTAGTATATATTTTATTAGTTCCCTCTAAGTAATGAAATGAAAGACCTTGACACACACACATGGTCTGCATCTGCTTACCTTTGTTGTTGCAAGCTGCTGTTGCAGGATTGCAGGGTCAGAGGCAACAGGTTCTGAGAGGAGCTTCTTCACATTGGCCTCACAAGTCAACAGCCATGCCTGCAGGCTGTCAGCGCTGCTCTGGAATTGCTGATACTGGCCTAGCAGCATGTTCAAGTGAGAGCCCAATCGTGTACACTATGCCAAAGGAAGAAAGAAACCAAAAGGTAGCAGCTTCCAGAATAGTGTTCAAAGAAAGAACCCTGTGCTGTTGGGGATGAGGGGGAGGTGACTGCAGCTTCAGAGCACGGTTTTAGTGTCTACAAGCGAGTTCGTCATTATTTGTACTATACTAGTCATCTCATCCTGTTATGTCCCTGGGAAGACTTAATGATTTACACGACATGCCACCAAAGAAATATACATCAGACTCTAGGCAAAAGTCAGGAATGAAAGGTGAAAAAAATGTTCCTTTTGGGAGCTGTTGACAGGGAGTGGTGTGTAGATTCTCAACTTTAGGAGGAACAAAGATTTTTTTTTTTTTTGGACTTGCAGGAAGATAAGGATTCATCCTAGAGCACACTGTGTAGGAATAAAGATTGTAGTTGGTTTAAATTTTGCTGTGCTATGCCTCTGATAAGCCCAAGACACTGGTCAGAACACAGGAAGATGAGCACCTCTCCCTTCCCCAATGGTGAGATACACATTCCAACACTGACGGACTAGGTGTTAGACCATGGGCCCACAGTCTGCATTTTTTATATAGCTCATGAAACCAATTTGCTTATGGTTAACACACGGTGGCCCATATTCTGAGCCTTAGAAACTTTAAACATGGTTGTTTGAGGACTGCCATGATTGTTTCTCTGGAGGTTGATGGGGGTCTCCCCTTACCTTAGAGTGGAGCGTGTTATATCTTTCTGTTGCGTCCTTCAGCTTTTCATTCACTAGGCTTCTGGTAGTTGATGGTTCCTGGCCTTCCTCAAAATTGTTTTCTGTGTCTAAGACTTTCTGTCCTGAGATAGTCACAAATCTCAAGTCTCCTTTGTGGGAAATGACATCTTCTGAGAAGCTTCCTTGCCGCTTTAGCAAGGAGCACAGGGCTTCAGGGCTGCTGCTGCCCTTATGCATACCGTTCAGCTCATTCTCAGATCGCTCTAGCCAGCTGTCAAATTCCCTATGGTCTTGCAGGAACTTCTGTAGTTCATCTCGTAGTGTCTGCGTCTGCTTCAGCGCTGCCTCTGACTGGGCCAGGGAAGCTGCATATTGTTCCTTCAGTTCACCTAGTTTCTCTTGTAGCTTCTGTCGTTCCTCAGGTGTAAGATTGTGACCATGTTGGTCCAGGAAGGCCTGAGCTGACTGGGTGGCCACAATAAAATTCTGCTGCTGAGACAGCAATTCTTGGTGATGTGCCTGGTGAATAAATTACCCCAAAGATGATTGTCAGTGAGAAAATGTGAACAATTGGTTATTTACAGCTAGGGGTAGAGCAATTTCCACCTCTGTTTCAAAATGTCACTCACTGTAGGACCAGGTGTGGCAGCATATGCTTTCAATCTCTGTGAGTTCAAGGAGAACAAGAGCTATATAGTGAGACCCTATTGTAAAAAACAAATTAAAAAAAAAACCTACTGCTGTAGGTAGATAATATCGTATTGAAGATGAGATATGTGAATGCCAAAAGATGTTACAGGGTCCAACTAAAGTTATGGAATGAGTTAAGGGTCAGATATGCTAAAACTCTACATTGAAGTCCTAAGAATATACAAATAAAAGAATATATTAAATGTGGGAGTGGTGAAGAATACTCTTTAGAGAAAGTAAACTCTATGCTAGGATCTGAAGAATAAAAGAAAAAATTAACTATGAGCCATGCCTTCCTTTATGTTCAGCATAAGGAGAAAGAAAATTCTAAGAGCACGCAAGAGTTCAGGGTGTGAGAACTTGGCAGCTGGAGACTCAAAGGGAAGGAAGATGAAGGATGAGGTTAAGTAAGCAGAAACAGATCCTAGGAGGGTGGTAATGACAGTAAACCATATTAAGAGTTTGGACTTAATCTGGAAGGTAAAATAAAGTTATGTAAAGATACAGCATCTTACAAATAAAATGGCTCAATATGGGAGAGCAAGAGAAAAAAATCTAGGATGGTTATTAGTTTGGGAAGTTAGGAATATCCAAAGAACAGGTTGGATGAACATGTAGGTGAGGTCAGGCTGCAGATTACAGACAAAATTTGTTTTCAAGGAATTTGTCAATACTGGTATCTGGTATATAGACAAGGGTACCCAAGAAAAGCGTATTGGTTTTGGGTGTATGAGTTTCTATATGTGCACATGAACAAGTGCATGCGTATGTAACCAGGGATCAATTATGGGTGCTGTTCCTCAAAAGCCACCCACATTATTTTTTTGAGTTACTTTCTCATTTGGACCTGGAATCAGGCTAGGCTGGCTGGGACCCCAACATGGAATCCCCATGCTAAGATTCTTAGCATGCCCCACTATGCCACATTTTAACATGGGTTATGATAATTCAAACTTGGATCTCATGCTTGTGTGGCAAATAGTTTACCAACTGAGCTATCTTCTCAGTACCAGGAAAGAGGCCTGGATCTACCTGGAAGGATAACAGTATCTCAAAGGCTGACAGTGTCCAAGCTGCTGTGATATCAAAGACACAAACTAAGGCTGTGATCAGTTTTCTAGAGTGAGAAAGTTCCTTTCTAAACCCATCAAAGACAAGCTAACGTCCTTACCTTCATTAACTCATATTGCCTGTCCAGTTTCTCTGGTACTTGGTTCCCCTCCACATAACCATCGGTGGCATCCAAGGCTCGGGTTTCAAGGCTAGCTCCAGAGAGTTGCTCCATTCCTAGAAGGCTGGTCTGCGGCTGTCTTTCAGATGACCCCACAGAAGTCACCCAATCCAAGAGAGCATCAATCTTCCTCCTGTTCTCTGCCAGCTCGGTTGCTGCTTTACTCTGAAATGCAGAGGTACTCCAGTGAGAACACCCTTGGCACTCCACTGTGAGAGAACGGTTAATAAGACGAGTGGGAAAGGAGGCCAGTGCTAAAAAGTAATGCTCTGTCCTGCTATACAATCTTTCCATGCAACAAAGAATGGGAATCTTCTAAAACTTGTGAAAATAGTTATTTAAGATAAACTCCAGCTTTCCTCAATAGCAGAATAGCTTAAAGAAAAATAACCAAAAATACTGCAATGAAAAGGACAAATGTCAGAATTTAGAAAGGTCCTGCAAATGCAGCACTATTCCTGGATCCTTCCTAACTATACAAAGGTGATGCACTGGATCCTTCCTAACTATGCAGAGGTGACACACTAGGTGGAAGAGTAAGATATGCCATAGGTACCATTCTTATCTGGCTATTCTTTCCTGAAGATATCTGTCACCTTTATCACAGCCAAACTGAGCACTTAGTTGTTAAATTTGCCTCTCAATTCTACTCTCTAGTTCTTCAAGTATTATACTTAAAAAGGCCACACTAAATCAGGCATAGTGGCGCATGACATTAATCCCAGCACTCGGAAGGCAGAGAAAGGTGGATCTCTGTGAGTTCAAGGCCAGCCTAGTCTACAGAGTTGTTATACAGAGAAACTCTGCCTTGGAAAAAAGACAAAAATAACCCCCCCCAAAACAAAATAACAAAAAAGGATGTGCTAAGATGTATATTCATATATTTTTTAACATTCATCTTTGTGTAGCTTGCTTCTCCTTCCCATGATTTCTACTCTCCAATTAGTACAGAAGTATACAGCCGAACAAAGGATCCAATTCAACCCTTCAACCCACCAATATTGAGTAAAACCATTCAAGACTTCACCTTTTAGTTTTGCTCTTCAGTTTCTCCTAGTCCCACAGTCCACACTGTAACTATACAGCCCGCCTGTGAGTAAAGCCTATACCCCAAAAGATCCTATAGTTATTTTTCTAATACTCTTAGGTCATCAATCAATATTCATGCAAGAAACATACCATCTGCTTTTTCTGACCCAGTCTAATATTGCATCTAAGCTAAAGTACAAACTATAGATTAAGCAAGTTTTCATTTTGGTTTTAGTAAAATACACTTTTTACCAATCACTCCTGATCTGAACTCCTGGACATTTTTGGTAAAGAAAGACCAACTCATGGACGTGCTCCTAAAGTGCTCTTCTGTGTCTCTAAAGGTCCCCCAGTTTCTATACTGGCATAAGATTTGGCTTTGGAAAACAATTAAATATGGCAGACTGCTACCTTCTCTGTCTCGTGCTGTAAGGCTGATGTTACTGCTTCCTCCAGCTCCTTCTGAGCCACCCGTGTCCTTTCCTGGAGAACCTCATATTGCTCCTTAGCCTGATGAAGTTTTTCTCGAAGAGACGTTAACTCTTGGGGGCTCAGCTTGGTCTGGTTCTCTTCCAGGAACCCTTCAACGTCTTTGACAGCCGAGGCAAATGAGGCAGAATGATTCTGAATATCATCCTGCAAATCCTAACAAAGAGAAACAAAGATGACTGCCTTTATTTTTAGTCCTTTCAAGTCTTTAATAGAATAATGAGGACACACACACAGTCTCTGATCTTTTGATAAGAGTTTACTTATAGTTTATACTGAAAGAAAAAAATTAATATATTTAATTTTCCCAGCAAACATTCAGTGTTGAACAGTAGAGATTTTTACTTGGTGATATTGTCTCAAAGAACAAACTACCTTCCTTCCTTCCATCTCCCCCTACCCCCCAAGACAAAGTTTCTCTGTGTAGCCCTGGCTGTTCTAAAATTCACTTTGTAGACCAGGTTGGCATGAACTCAGAGATCCACTTGTCTCTGGTGGGATTCAAGGTGCACACAACCACACCCAGCGAGCATTCTTTCTATGAGATCCCACTGACTTATAAGTTCCTTCTTTGGAACCCATGTAAAGACGGAAGAAGAAAACTGACTCTACCCTGCTGTCACTGGCCTCTAAAAAAGCATGGTGTGGAACACACATACACATAGTGGAGGTGGGAAGACAAGAGATACATTTGCAATTATGATAAATAAAAAAAGAACTTTAAGATTTAAAAATTCTATTTGCAAAGTGGAAGAAATAAAAAAAAATTAAGTGATGGAAACTCGCTCCTAGTAGACGTGGTGGTTATCCTTTAATCCTAGCCCAGCAGGGGAAGAGGGGAAGCAGGGACAGAGGCAGGAGGATCTTTGTGAGTTCAAGGTTATTTTGGTCTACACGCCAAATTTTGGGCCAGTCAAGGTTCCTGCCTTAAAACAAACAAACAAGCAAACAACAAACAAAATGATGTGGCGGCGGGGGCGGGGGGGGGGGGGACGACGACGGGACTGACTCAGCAGTTAAGAGCATTTGTTTTGGGGGAGGACCTGGGTTCAGTTTCCAATATGTATATGGCAGCTCACAATCATTCATGATTCCAGTTCCAGAGGATCTGACACCTCCATGGGCACTGACACATGTGGCCATGTACACACATGCAAGCAAAACACGCACCCACAGAAAAAAAAAATCTCACTTCACCTTGCTCTACCCAGTTTGAGATGTGAATAGCTCCTTTGTCTAGTTCATCCAACTTGACTATTAGATACATAGTAGTAGACTCAGCTATCAGGTCATCTGCTGTATTATGGTGCTTATACTCCAAGAGTCCTCATTTCATATAAAAATGGCCCCAAAGGACAAGAATAGTGATGATTTCTATTATAGTATATTATAATAATTGTTCTAATTTAGTTAAGGATGTATCTTTCATTGTGCCTAATTTATAAATTAAACTGTATATGTTCAAGAATAATACATATGTTCAAGAACAATAGTTCACTAATACCTGCTTTCAGGGACTGACTGGGAGACTTGAAAAGTACCTATTCCTTTCTTTAGGGTCTAACCAACAGGAGAGACTACTGCATTCTCCTGGTTATCATCATTTCTCTCTGTGTGGTCTACAAATCCAAGAAGATATCTCCGATCACCACTCTGCAGCCCAGAGGAAGGGTCTTCTTTCAGTTTCTGACCGTGCTGTGTTCAGTTCCCCTCCTACCTTAAGTCTGATGTAGAAGCTTCTGCCTGGTGTACTTTCTGCCTCCTACCCCTTTGTGCACTAAGTCCTATATATCCTTCTCAGTTTAAATGACATTATTTGAAGTAATCTTTCCTGGCACCCTACAGAAAACCCTAGATTGTCTTTCTGGTGTATTTTCATGTAACTTTACCTTTATACATGTAATAGTTAGCAGTTTGATGCCTTTTTTTGTGATAGTTTGTGTGCCTATGTATCTCTTCCAAGCCGTAAGCTTTCATGAGGGTAGCAATGTCTGGTTAGCAATGATGTTGCTACTAAGCACTGTTATGGAGCCTTGACAAACATTTACTGAAGGAATGACAAGAAGGATTAATTCACACTGACCTTCAAGCCCCTTTGGTCCTTCTGCAAAGCAGAGAGCTCTTGCTGAGAGGCTCCGCCCTGGTGTCTTACCAGAGCTCTTTCTGCCTGTCCAGCCCAGCTGCGAAGGTCCTCCAGCTTCTGATGGCAGGTATTTTGATGCTTCTGCAGAGTCTAATTAAAATGCAGAGGAGTCAAGAAACAATCAACTTTCATTTTACAGATACAAGATATATTCCTGAAATGTAAAACAGGACAATTATATATCAAAGATGGAAAGGTTGGTGGAAAACAGGGAGAGAAAAAGGCACAGAAGTTATATTCTGGAAGCTCCCCTCATCTGGGCTGTCTGTTATCTGGTGTGCAGTTGAATGATAGTCAGGGACAGTTGCAGAGATGTGCTCCTAATGCGGATTAGTTTACAAGCTCCTTTGGAGACTGCTATTATCATTTTTGGAATGGACAACAATGAAAACCACACATGGTAGTGGTGATGATGATGTCTCTCTGAGAAGTTCTTCCTTTGGAACAAGAGGATATTCTGCAATTTACGTCAGAAATGTGGTAAAGTGTAATCAGAACAAAAAGTAAAAACTCAAAAGTTTGGATAATTGATAAGCTAAATGAGGTTCTTAATAATTGAACTGACTTTATAAATCAAATGTCTTGAAACTGCATAAGACCATTAAATAAAATGATTACATGGCAGAGTCAAGAAGTGTGGTTTGGCTATTTTGAGAAGAAAACAGCCCAAGAATAGCAACTGTCTTAGTCTTCTGGGTGTCTATACTAATACCACTGGAAAAGTGAGGCCCAGAGAGGGGGGGAATATGTTTCCATGCCTGATCCTTTCCCCATCTCTAAGGTCAGTTTATGACACTAGAGTACCCGACTGAGCAACAATTGAGCATGATGTGTTTCTCCTGATAATAGTTCTAAAAACTGCTTCTTCCAGACTGCCTTCTGATGGCGTTCTGACGTCACAGTCACCTGCACTTACAAACAGGTGCCCATACTGGCCCTCACTCCCTTTCTTTTTTTCTTAAGGAAAAAACAGAAGTGCACTGGAAGAGAACTCCTAAGAGTTCTTCAGTTGTGAAACAGGATCTTCATGGGTTAGGATGAGTGCAGACTGAATCTGAAAAAGCAAAGCAAACAAGTTAACGCACACACATTCAGAGCAAATACAGAGAGAGGCAGAGTGTTTCTGACAAGGTTAATGCATACCGTGAAATTAATTCCATGCTTAAAATGTTCACATGCAATTTTATTACCTGCTTCAGTTAAGCTGAAGGTGGCTCAAACCAATGTGCTTTACTAATTACACACAGGATAAACTAGACTATCTAAATGATCAGGTAAGAGCATTACACATGCTCAGGTATGAAGAGCAACCTGAAAAACTTATCAGGATTTACTTCAGTTTCAAAGCAGTTGAAATAATTAGACAGTACCAGGGGACAGAAGGCACAAATTAACCTAATTTTCTTTAAGTTTGATCCAAAAGCTCAACTATACTTTGCATAACACAGGAGCCCTTGAGACAGATTTTCTGGGAAACATGACAATTCTACTATCATTTTGTTGTATACCAATTTATTCAGATAGCAGAAATGGCAAAAGCATTACTCAAGATAGTCTAAGGTTATGATGATACTAAAAATTGAATTATGTTAAATTTAAATTTTGTAAGGTGAGAGATAAGCTGGGAAATAGTAGGACTGTCATCAGATTTAAAAAAAGAAAGAAAAAGAAAGGAAACCATCAACCCTGTTTTTGTACACTATGTTGCATGGTGAAAAACTCATCACTTCAGCACATAGGAAAATAAAGTGCTAGAAAATAATAACATAAATATTCCAAAAACAAGGTTAGGCATGCTGACTAATGCCTTTAATTACAGCACATGGGCAGAGGCAGGGGCATCTCTGTGAGCTCAAGGCCAACCTGCTACACATAGAGTTAGCCTAGGCTACACAGTGAAACACTGTCTTAAAAACAATATTATTCTGATTAAATATTTCTGCCAGATATTTGAAGACTGTCAAGAAATCTTATTTTGAGTTATTTTTAAAAGTCTTTTAATAAAACTGATTTCAGAGCCATTCTTGTCCAGAGCTCAGAGTACCTAGATGCTCTTCATAGTCTCAAATGAATGCTGAGAAAGCAACAGGTAGAAAGGGCTAGCTACAAATTGTGCATGGCAGTTGAGACAATGGGACATAGTAAGAGTAGCGCCTCACTAAAATGAAAACACTTGCACATGCAATTTGCACACAAACATATATATTCTCTTACACACATAAAACAAGAAAAACAGAACAGTTCTTTCTTGGGCCAGGTCATACTGGCCTGGAAGGACATAAGATTTTGAAGCTGATAAACCTAGGTTCCCGGATTCATGATCGTTGGAGACCGGTCAGAAAACCCCCAGAAGACATCCCCATAGACAAAGTGAACTCAGTTGCTGGTTCAGTCTGACCTTAACCTGAACTTCTTGCTGGATTTGCTGAAGATGGTCCTGTAATGCCTCCATCTGAGCTGCAGTCTGTTCCACAAGGTCATGGAAGGACCTCTGTAATTCATTTAGAAACTGCAGCATCTGTTGGTTCTGCTGAAGAGACAGATCTTGTGCATGCTCACTGATAAAGAGCTCAACATCCAAAGCAAGAACATCCAGCTGAGATTTCCTTTCAGCTATAGATTGTTTTATAACCTAAGACAAGTAAGGAAAAAACACAAACGGAAGAAAATAGACAACTTTTATTTCTCTAGTCATGGAAAAGTTACTGGTTTTGAGAATGAAAAGATAACCTCCTATTTTCATCACTGGCATTGGTGACTACAGGACCAGAGCAGCATGGCAAAGCTCATTTTCTGTTCTTTACAAATTCCCCCAAACAAGGCACTGATTGCAAGAATGCTTCCTTTACTGGACCTAGCTTTACAATTCAGCAACCTTTCAATTATTTATGCTAACAGAATTATGCTATTACTAACCAAAACATATATGACTTAATCTTATTTATTTATTTTGGTAGAGCTGGGGATTTTGTGTATACTGGGCAGCCACTCTTCCACTGAGATGCATCCCAGCTCCTTTTGTATGTCTGGTTTATTTTAGACAGGGTCTTATTAAGCTGTTCAAATTGGCCTTGACTTTTAGACATAAAGCAAAGAAAAAACAGCCTACAATTCACAATCCCAGAGAACCTAGACAACAATGAGGACCCTAAGAGAGACACACATGGATCTAAACTACATGGAACATTAGAAACGATAAGATCTCCTGAGTAAACTGGGAGCATGGGAACCACGGGAGAGGGTAGAACAGGAGGGGAGCAGAAAGGAGGACAGCAGAGAAAAATATATAGCTCAATAAAAACAATAAAACAAAATAAAATAAAACAAAACAAACAAACAAAACAAATTGGCCATGAACTCATTTTATAGTCCAGAAAGGCCTTGAATTTGTGATTCTCTCAGCTCAAACTCTCAAGCAGCTGAAATTAGAGGACCTGGCTTAATTTAATAAACAAACAAACAAACAAACAAAAGTTTTGGAAAAAATACAACATTAATTTCTGATGTAAGATTCTGGGCTGGAGAGACTGCTATTCCTGAGGACTTGGGCTCAATTCGCAGAGCCCATATGGTGGTAACTCTGCTTTAGGAGACTCAGTGCCCTCTTCTGGCCTCACCATGTGCATACCACAAACAGACACATATGCAAGCCAAACATCTTGCATGTAAACTTAAGCATCTATATTTATTTAATTTGTAGTCCAGTTCTGAGAAAGCAGGAAGCTTACTTGGATTCACTAAGCTGACTTTACTTTTAGGTGGCTGGAGAGAATCAGTGATTCAGAATACCTACTGTTCTTCCAGAGGACACTGAGCAGCTCAGGACAGGCTGTAACTCCAGTGCCTGAGAATCTGACTTCCTTTCTGGTGTGCCACAAACACCCGGGTCCTCAACACATATACATAATATTTTTTTTAAAAAAATCTTTGTATTAAAAAAATATTTATCTACTCTTATTTTATGAGTATGGTTGTTTTGCTTGCATGTATGTCTGTGTACCATGTGCATACAGAGCCCACAGAAGCCAGAAGAGCACATCAGATCCTCTGAAATTGGAGTTAAAGCTATGTGGGCACTTGAAATTGAGCCTGAGTCTCTGGAAGAGCAGGCAGTGCTCTTAATTGCTGAATTATCTCTCAAGCCCTAGAATAACATCTTTTTAAAAATTGATTTATTTATGTGCATTGGTGCTTCCCCTACAAGTATCATCTATGTGAGGGTCCCAGATCCTCTGGAACTGGAGTGACAGACAGTTGTGAGCTGCCATGTAGGTGCTGGGAATTGAATCAGACCTTCAAGAAGAAAGGTCAGTGCTCTCAATCACTGAGCCATCTCTCCAGCCCCCAAAATCAAATCTTAAAATCTATGATAATGGTGTTGGTGTTGGTGTGTGTGTGTCATGTGTATCAACCCAGATGCACTCATGGCACTGTTGGAGCATGGAGGTCAGCTGACAACTATCAGGAATTGGTTCTCTCCTTCTACACTCAGTTCTACACGCAATTCTGGGTATTGAACTTAAAGGGGAGAGGACAGAAGAGAAATAGCTCTATTTCCTTTTTACTTTCTAGAGCGTTTACAAGGTGACATTCTTCTGTAACACAAAATTCATGACTTAGTACTAAGAGCTGATACACTCTAGGATATAGCAACAGAGAGAACAATGCACTGAACAGAACAGTAACAAAAGAACAACTGATGGAGACACACACGGGCACATATGTTTATGTAGCTATAAGTCATAATTTTAACTTCCGTTCACTGGTTAGTAAGAACTATTAGTTTGGAGCTTATTAAGAAGAAAAAAAATCTCTCTATATCAAGTTGTCTAGGATTGTGACCTCTAGGCTAAATCTGACACACAAAGCCTGGGGTTACAAGGCACCATCTGGCCCACAGAAAAAGCTTGGCTACTCACACTCTAGGTCAATGGTGAAAATGTCTTCAGAAATTGTGCGAGATTGGATACTATCGAAAGAGAAAGATGAGACAGAGCCCAGAAACACAGTACAAGAAAGATACAAAATTGGTACTATAAAGTTACTCTTGAGACTCTCAGAGAATAACTGAGAGGAAAAAGAGTCACAGGTTTTGAACCTCTAGGAGCATAAAAATCTTAAAAATTAAACATAATTGATCTCATTTCTAAGAGGAAATTCAGACTTTCTCAGAATCAGTGTTGTTGAAGGACAGGGTGGGATGGGTGGGCGTTTACCTCCCACTGCTGGAGAGAGTGACGCAGGTTGTCCCCATCAGTTTCACTGTCACATCCCCTGCTGTTCAGAGTAAGACTGGTTCTGTTAACCCAGGCTCTCAGATCTTCAAGTTTGCCTTCCAGTTCCATGTGCTGATTGAACACTGTGGTCTAAGAAATACACAGCAAGTCAGACCATGACCCTCCAGATCTCTGCAGACTTTGTGTGAGTCCTTAGGCATAATACATAATAAAAAATAAATCTTAAAAGACCCCAACTTAATCAAACAAAAAGCTCACAAAGAACAAAGCCCCAAACCAAGACACTACCTGTTTCACTTCCATGGCATTCTGGAGGTAGAGGAGTCTGGAACCCCAAGAGTCACTAACGGAGTCTAGAGACTTCTGAAGATTTCTGGCATCTTTCTCTAATGCCTTCAGCAGCTGAGCAGGAACTTCTTGTGGCTGGCTGATAACAATCCGATCCACGCACTCCAATTCCTGACTCACCACGGTGGACAGATCTTTCAGTTCCCTGTCTAATACCTGAGGGAACAGAGAATAAAGTCACCTCCAAAATCAAGAGCAGTGCTGTGGCTGGGGATCAGCAGTAGAGCATGTGCCCACCTTGCTTAAGACCTAGATTCAACCCTCTTTACAGAATAGCAATTTTGTCTGCAGGAAATCAGCTGTGAACATATCTGTCAGCTCACCTTGTGTCTACATAGAACTTGGGGCTTAGAAAAGTAGGCTCCTTAGTTTAATCACTAATTAATTCATATTTCTTAGCTTAAACATCAAGAATTATTTCTCTGAGGCTACCAAACCGAAATAGGTGAGGTCTTGGATTCAGGTTTCTGACTCAGTGTAGTACTCTGACCACTAGACATTGACTCCTCTCTAAGACTGTCAATTTTCCTTTCTCAGGTGATGTTGGCTATGCCAGAGGAGCAGCAGGTGGCAACTGACTTCAGGGGATCAGCCCATCAGCATGCAAGGCACTGATGGGTGACTCTTGGATGGGCAAGGCCCCTGAGAGCCTCAGTCCCAGAATACCTCTTGCTACTGCTGTATCTTTACATGTTTGCCACTGCCATCTGGCATGGTGTGAACAGGCATGAGGAGATTTCCACTGCCTTTAATGTAGTGTGATTATCTCATGGAAATATTCCATTCTACCGGGCATTTTGACTTGTGGATTACTATAAAGATGCTTTCCTCCTAAACTGTACTGTCTAACTGAAGCAATAATTTTATACATTAATAGTGTTAGTTTAAATAGGATTTTGATGATTGAGGGCTTTTAATATAGTAAGGGATAGTGACAAAGGTTAAGTTTAGTGTGGGAAAATTAACATAGGTAAAGATAGGATAAAATATTGACTCAGCTCCTGAAAAAACAGGGGGTGTAGAGGATAAAAAATAAGAACAAGGAAGTATCACACAGCTAGGACGCATGAGCTTCTCTCGAGGAGTCCTATAGACTGTGGCTTAGGTTAATGATTAAGAAGAACAATTAAGGACGTGGAGAGATGGCTGAGATGGCTTAGTGATTAAGATCATTGGTTGCTCTTCCAGAGGACCTGGGCTCAATTCCCATCACCCACATGGCAGCTCACAACCATCTGTAACTCCAGTTCCAGGGCACCTCATATGAACATACATGCAGGCAAAAACACAAATCCACATGAATAAAGATAATAAAAAAAAAAGAAAGAAAAAGAAAAGAGAAACAGCTGAGTCCCAGAAACCCAGCTAGCTCAAGTTCTTTTCATTTTAATGTGGAGACGTGTTTGCAGGTTTCAGTGCGTATCATAGCTGAACAAATTTTTAAATATGAGGTAAGGATGGGTTAAGACTTTTTTTGCTTTTTGTTTTGTTTTTCGAGACAGGGTTTCCCTGTATAACAGTACTAGCTGTCCAGGAACTCACTGTGTAGACTAGGCTGGCCTCGAACTCACAGAGATTCAGCTGTCTCTGCCTCTGAAGCGCTGGGATTAAAGGCGTGCACCAAAATTGCCGGGTAGGTTAAGATGTTTTTGTTAATAACTCTGAGGTAAAAACCCTTGAGAAACAATCTAAAGTTTAGAAAGGCACATAGTTGAGTGAGGGACTAATGAGGTCAAGGAACAAGAAAAAGCATTCCAATTATTACTAGCTGATGCGACTGTCTCGCTAGCAGGGGTTGGTGATCAGAAGTCTAACTCTTTGAACCCATTTCTGCTCTCAGTTTCCTGAAATAAGGAACTGTTGAGAATGGGTCTGCACCCTGAGGATTCAGAGCTGACTGATTGTTTTTCATATATAAAAGTTTAGATTTGCAATTCTTTTAAGATTTTTTATAAGATTATCCTTAGAGATAAATAATAAAATGATTGATCCCTCTTTGTAACCACAAAAGGCAGCCTGCCTATAAAAGAACTGGCTGAGAAAAAAATATTTTGCTTGCTTACACTATTAATCTATAATAAGTTGCTTGAATATGAATGTATGTGGGTTCATGGGATAATTTGCTTTTCACCTATAATACATAAAATGTTACTCATGTAAGGAATATGGAAAACATGTTGTTTAAAACTTATATTCATTGAAATCATTCACTTAAAAACAGAATGTAGCCATATTTTAATTTTTATACTGCTTCAAAGATGCTGCTGGGATACATAAGCTATAAGGGTAAAAATAAAGTTAGTTAGAAGGAAGACATCAAGAGAGACAGAAGGGATACATCTAGATAGAGGTAAGAAAAGAAATAAAGAAGAGAAGAAGATGATAAAGAGATCCTATAGGTGTGTGTGTGTTTTCCCTTTTTTTGTCAGCCCCAGGGAGTTAAGTTTAACTTCCTCAGATAGAAAAACCAAGCTGAGCGAATAGTTAGCCAGCTCCGTTGGATCCCCCTTCAATCCCTGAGCTGTGGGAGGCTGTTCCTGGTGGCGGCAGTCCCCAGGCAGCTGACATGTGGGGTTAGAGTGCATCAAGGGAAGTCAACCAAAAAGACTTTTTCAATCCAAACTCTAGGGGGGAAGATCCAAAGAATACAAAAATACTTGGAAACAGTCTTCCCACTCAGCTGTTCTATAATTTCTTACTCCTCAACAGAGAAGCCAGCAATGGGTGGTGGAAAAGCATAATAGTGATTTAGAGTATAGCCTCATTTCCCTTTTAGCCACCCTACCTCTGCCACACACCGAGTATTGGGAAACACGGCAAACTTCCACAGGCTCTACCATCTTCATTTTGGCTTCCAATTTCAACAAGCGACTCATCTTCCCTTTCAAGGTTGCCTTTCTATCCTTTCTATGTATGTAAGAGCATGATACTATCTAGTAGCAAAGTCTCCCTCCCTTACCATCTCCAGAATCCACTGAAAACACTCCTTAGTCACTCTACATCCTCTAGCTGCTGCCTGCAACACAAACACTTCTGGAAAGAATGACATACAGTAATCGTCTGCCATCAGTTTATATCTCCTCACTCCATGGAAACCATTTTTGTTGTTGTTTGTTCGTTTATTTGTTTGTTTTTGAGACATGGTTTCTCTGAGTAGTCCTGGCCATCCTGTAACTTGCTCTGTAGACCAGGTTGGCCTCGTACTCAGATTGGCCTGCCTCTACCTCTAATGGGAACCATTTTTACCATGGTAATAATGAATTTGTCTTCACTGGATTTAGTATCTGTGGCCTCTGTTCTTCCTAGAGATCTTTTCCTCCATTTCTATAAAGTCAACATTTCTTGGTGTTCTTTGAAATCTGAGACAGGACTGGGGATGTGGCTCAGCAGGTAGGAGAACTTGCTTGAAGAATCATGAAGACCTGAGTTCAAATTTTATAGTCTCACAGAAAAAACTGGGAATGGCCATGAACACATGTAATCCCAGTACTAGAGAAGGATAATACAAGAATATTGCTTGGGTTTGCGGCCAGCATCCTACTTCAGGTTCAGTGAGAGACCCTGTCTAAAAGGTGTAAGATAGAGGGTGATAGAACGGGACAATGAAATAAATATCTATGGCCCACTTGTGAGTGTGTACAACCATACATGTGCATGCACAATACACAAAAGAAAAAAAAAAACCAAACCACTAAAACCAACCAATTAACCGACTAAATATAGCTGGCTTCATTTCTGAAATTGTGAATCAAATTTTTGATTTAACAAACAGACAAAAACGAAGTATGTGCAGGCTAAAGGACAAGCAGGAATGTCATTTACCTCCTTTGAATCAAGATCTTTCACTGTTCTGGAGCCCACCAATTAGGCCAAACTATCTGGTGAGCAAGCTACTGTAGGATTCCTCCTTCCTATTTCTGTTTCCCCAGTGCTGGGATTACAAGTGTGTCCAATTCTCCTGGGTTTTGTTTCTGTTAAGACACAAAATGTAGCTTCGGCTGGCCTGAAACTCACTATGTAGACCAGGCTTGTGATGATATAAACAACCTTGTGGTGATCCTTCTGTCTCTTTCTCTCAGGGGAAGGATTACAGGCATATACTACCATATCCAGCCAGAAATGTAAGTAAAACACTGTCGGTTTTCCCAGCAGGAAGGCACAAGCATTATGGGTGAGATGGCTCAGCAGTCAAGAGCACCTATTGCTCCTAGCACCAATGTTGGGCAATTGACAATTACCTGTCAACTCTAGCTCCAGGAGATCCTACACTATGATCTCTGCAGGTATAGGTACTGACAATCATATGCACGGACTCACACACAGAGATACACATACAAACATAATAGTAGGATTTATTTATCTCATGAATGGATCTCTGTTCCTAGAGAGTCCCAGCTGCACTTTTTTTTTAAAGTTATATTATATTATAGCCTTTTAAAGGACATTGCTACAATGCAAACACAATACAGAGGCCAGAGAACAACTTGCAGGAATTCATTCTCTCCTTCTACTATACAGGTCCTGGGGATTAAACTCAGATCTCCAGACTTGACATTAAGTGCCTTTATCCAATGAGATTGCCTTTTTTTTTTTTTTTTTTTTTAAAAGACAGGGTTTCTCTGTTTAACAGTCCTGCCTGTCCTGAAACTTGTTTTGTAGACCAGGCTGGACTTGAACTCACAGAGATCTGCTCTGCTTCTGCCTCCCAAGTGCTGGGATTAAAGGTGTGTGCCACCACTGCCCTGCTTCAATGAGATGTCTTACTGACTTAAATGGTGACTTTGAATTTCCTAAAAAGTTCTACAAACTATATGCATGGGTTGGTCTCATAAATACAGGCCTCACATTTCCATTATCACTACTGGGTTTTGTTTTCCCATGGGTGAATTAAATCACTGGAAGTAGAATGAATATGAAGCCCATGGGTCAATCGCTTTCACCTAATTTTATCACTGCAGCAAAGAAGCCTCACCTTCCACAGTGTCCACCCACAGAGTCTAAGAGACGCTTTCTTCAGAAGACAACTCTTCCTCTTCTGTAGGGAAACAGCACATGCAGCTCTACACTACTGAAAGAGCTGGCAATGGGTAGGTTTAATTGCTTCTTACACTTTAAACAAGTTAGAACTCTTTTGCATATGCAAATTTATCTATTTTCTGGTGTTACTATTAAAGAAGGATTTAGGTAATATAATTCACACTGCTGTTTAACTTCATCCACTGAAGTTTGCAAGCTAGAATTCTCCTGTTAGCTAAAAGCAAAGTTTTTCTTTCTTTAAAAAAGATTTATTTTTTATTAATTTAAGTGCTGTATATGTGTTTATGTATGTATGTTTGGAGGCCAGCAGAGGATGTCAGTTCACTGGAGCTGAAGTTACAGCGGTCAACTGTGGTTGACTAGACACAGTTTCTAGACACTGAACTCTGAACCTCTGAAGAGCAACATGTGCTCTGAACTGCTGAGCCATTCTCCAGTCTCAGCATTAAGCTGTTTTTTTTCTTTCTTTCCTTTTTTCGGGGGAGAGACAGAGTCTCCTGGAGCTCACTATGTAGATTAGGCTGCCCTCAAACTCACAGGGGTCCTCCTGCCTCTGACTTCCAGGGCTGGGATTAAAGATATGTATCACCATGCCTACCTTACTTCAAGTTTCTTAACTAACCACAATGCTTTTGAAATTATCTCATTAAATCAAAGACCACACAAGCAAAGCAGCACATGTCTATCCAAAGTATATTCAAATCTGGCTCTTACTGTTCTAGCCTAGAATATCCTACCAATGCCTAATAAGGAGCCAGAGATTTTTTTTTTCCAATGAGAGAGAGAGTGAAAAGCACTTTTAAGCCTTGAAATCTTCAAGATAGTTGGAGGCCACCATCTTGAAGCCAGTGGACATGGAAGAATGTTTGGGAACGTACCTTGGCCTGACACAGCAGGTCCTGCAGCTCTGCCACATTAAGCTCCAAAGGCTGAATCTGTTTGGTTCTCATTTCAATATCCCGTAAGAGAGACAGATAGGACACCAGCTTCTCATCATGCTCTAAACAAAGCCGTCGGGTAAACACATTCTGTGGAACCAAAAGTAAAACTAAGTTCTGTTTTCCTAAACGTCAGCTTTTAAAGGAGGTAGTTGTTTGTTACAGAAAGAAGCTATTTGTACTACAAATAAGACAGGATGAAATATGCTATTCTGTCTGAGCCATTTCTAAGCAATCGGCAAAGTGATTTTATTAACCTTCTCAGAGAACAGAAGCACATCATTACCAATAAGTTAGATTCATTTAAAAACATTTCTAAAAGACATTCTAATTTCAAGTAAAATCATTCCAATATTTCAAATAAGTTTCTAACTTTAGGACTCTTGGGCAGGTGGTAGGTCCTGACAGTATAATAACCACATAGCAAACCCTGGGTCCAATGCTAGAATCACAAAAATAAAAAGCAACAAACAAAAATTCTTAAAAATTTTTAGGAAGATATTCACAGGCAATGCTTAATTTTCCAACAACTATATTATAGGTAATAAATGAGTTGGTAACTTAAGAGATTTAGGTAATGCCATAAATAAATATGTATGTATGTATATGTATGTACGCATGTATAAGTGCATACAATCTTACACAAGTGACTTCCATATCCAATTAAGAATTACAGCATCAAGTTAGGGCTGAGAATATAGCTCAGTAGTAGAGTACTTGCCTAGGAAGCAGACCAAAATAGAAAAGAAGAAAAAAATCATCATAGCACTAAAGCTACTTTTATCTTTAATAAATAAACTACAAGCCAGAAGTGATGGTGTGTGTTCTCTAATTCTAGAATGGGAGGCAAGAGAGTTGCTATAAGTTTGAGGCTACCCTGGGATACATAATGAGTACCAGGTCAGCTAAGGTCACAAAGTGAAACCCTGCCTCAAAACAAAATCAAAACAAAACAAAACAAAAGGCCCCAAACCCTAAGCAAACAGAAACATTTACTTGCCTGAGTAGCTCTGCAGGGCACTGGGTTTACACCTTCTTTCCCCTTCTCACCAGGTACAGCCATGAAGGGAGCTTGTTCTTCACCAAGGATTTCTTTGTGCTTTTCCTGAGGCACCTTCTCATCTATCTTCATTGCAGAATATGGCAGGGACACTGGCATTTCTTCACTGACTTCTGAAACAGTGGGACTAGTGACAGCATTGTGTTGTTCTATGCTCTCCTTCAGTAATATTCCTTTGGGCAATTTCTCTGGAAATAAGGATACCAAGACCCTGGGTCCTTTCTGACCCACTGTGTCTTCAGAGGATCCTCCTTCTGGGTCTCTAGTTATAGGATTTACTATTTCAAGAAATTTTGTTTCCTGGGTTGTTGATATTTTAGATTTTTCATATTCACAAAGCTCATGATCCCCTTTGCTATCCTCATGAAGATGTTTTCTATCTGAGGAGTCTAGATGACTGACTACTTCTGTATTTATGGTAGAAACTGTGGGTTCTTTCCATATATGAGCTCTTGTTGAGTCCAAAGGTATTTCTTGGTATAACTTTTCTTTATCATCTTTACAAGCGAAAATCTTATCTTTGGTCTTCCCAGTTTTAGATGTAGCACACAGGTTTTGGCCATCAGTAGTATTCTGTCTGCTGGGTCTTTGGGCAGACATGTCTCTTTTGGAAATTTGGAATGTGTCTGAAACGGGGACTTCTCCATCTGAGTCCGGATCATTTAGTCTTTCAGGTCTTGGGATCTCAGAAGAGAATGGTTTCTTCTGGGCATCACTATCAATTTCTTGAGGTAACTTTTCTTCTGGTCTTAAGATCGAGCAGAGGTTCACAGTTTTTATTTCCTCTTCGCTGAAGAATGTTAAAGCATCTTGATTTCGTAGGGAAGCATCTTTGGATGTCACTTGGGAAGGGAAATCTTCAGTTTTACAAATAACAGAAAAGTTCATTTCTCTACCAATGTCTTTTCTCTTTTCATTTCCAATCATTCTCAGAGACTGGCTCTTTATACACGAGTCATGCTCATTACCAACAGTAACTTCCTGGTCCAAGCTTTCCTCAGGAAGGCCTGTTGCTTTGCCTGTGTGGACACTTTTCCCGACAGCCACTCCTCTGTTAACCCTCACATTCACTGACTGCTCACTCAACAGTCTGCCGACTGATTTGCAATGAGATTCCTGGCCTTCTGAAATCCTTTTCCCTTGACATTCTCTTGCTTCTTCAGCATCCAGGCCTGACGTAGATTGTCGTACGTGAGAAATCGTTTTTATTTGTGTCGCTACTTTCTCCTGCTCTACATCTGCACACTTTCTCATGTGACTTCTAGCTTCCTCTCTGGGTTTCAAATCAGAAGCTTGGTGTGAAGGTTCACCTTCAAGACCACCAGGACTTATGATGACAGCAGGAACTTTATTGTCCAATGAAGCTTTCTCCTCATCATGAGACTTGCTTTCCATCTCCTTTAGTGAAAACTTCCTGCCTCCTTCTGCCTTTCCCCTACTAGAAACCCTTCCTTTAACCTCTTCTTGAACACACTGACTTCCAACTTGGACCACTTTCTCATGTTGTTCTTTATCATAGCTCCCCTTGGAGGTCTCACCACACTCAACTAGTAACTCCGGTTTTGGAAATTCACCCTTCAACTCACATACTTCAGTCCCACCTTGCTTTTCTAAGGTATCTGCTTGGATCACAGATGCCAGCTCAGGGCTAATAAATCTTTTCTCTACAGCATCCTTTAAAGTCACTCTTTGATCACTATATATATCAATAATTCCTCCACTTGAAATCTGATGAAAAGCAATAATTCTGGCCATGTTTTCATCCAATAGTTTCTGTTCCAAAGCTGATGCCAATGTCAATCTTCTTCCTGTGGTTGTATCTATAATTCCACCAGTGTTCGCCTGAGCTTCCAAAACCTTCAGTGTAGATGCAAAGTCTACCTTGCCATGCTGCACTGCTTCAGACAATGGTAGCACTTGGTTGCTCATCTCATCTTTAATATCAGAGAATGGGATTACTTCAAGATATCTCCATCCAGACTCAGTGTCAATCCTACATTTCTTTACTAATTCTGAGTAGGGAATAATTCTGCAGTTCTCAGGATCTACGACTCCATGTGTCATTCCTGAAGGTAATTCTGTCTTATGAGCTAAGGAGCCTCCCAAGTTCCCACTATAGTCCTGGATCTCTTGGATTTCTCTTTTCAACTCTGGAGAGACAAGATCTAATTTTATGGCTTCTGAGAAGGAAAGAGCTTCCTTTGTTTGAGGATGAAAAAATTGATGATGGTTTAAATTCTCAACTTTTTTGAGCTGCCTGGCTACATCTTCACCAATTAAGCCATGTTTGAAGGCATTATCAACAGAAAGTCTCAACCCAGAAATATGATGAATGATACCACCATCAAGTACTTGCTTAGCCAACAGAGAAACAGCTTCTTCTCTCTCCAGAAGACCTCTATCAATGGACTGCAGAACTGTTAATGGTGCTTTACTATCAGGGTCCATAAGTCCTGTTGTTTCCATTTGTAGCTCAGTTAATCTCTCCTTAACTGCTTTTTGAGCATCTCTGCCTTTGGTAGCCTTTTCCAGATTTATAAGGGCTGTCTGGTCAGCACTGTCTACCAAACCAAGATTTGAGGCCAAAGTTACTGAAAGCTTTTTGCCTCGTTTCAGGTCCACAATTCCCCCAGTTACCACCTGCCCCTCTAAAATCCTGGTGGCTAGCTCCTTGTCAAGAAGGCCAGCTGCCACAGCCTGCTTTACAGAGCACAGTGAGTTGGTTCTGGGGTCTAAGACACCACTTATAGCTTTGTCTGACATAAGGACATTATGTAGTAATTTTTCATCCATCAGACCTTCATCAATGACTTCTTCAGTTGTCAAAGACTCACAGGTCTGAGAGTCAAAGAAGCCCCGAAACATGTTCAGTTTTCCCATTAGTTTCACAGCAGTATGGCTAGACACAAGGCCTTGGCCTATTGCATCATTTAGTAAGAGTTTCTGACCTGTTTCTTCATGGATGATACCACCATCCAGTAGCTGTGAAGATAACTTACTTAAGGTAGCTTCTTCCAGCAATTCAAAAGGATGACCACACAACAAGGAAGGTTCACCACCATCACCATCTGTATCAGTCTTTTCTAATACCACCATATGACCATCTGCAACACTCTGTCCTTCTTGGCTCTGTTTGTGGCTATCCTTAACCAAAAGTGTTCCATTTAACTCTTCCTCCAAAGAATTAATATTCATACCATTTTCTGACTTAAATTCTGATTTTAAGCTTGAAGTCTCTACCTGACATTGTGAATTTTTGTTTTGGAACTTTATGAGGGGTATTATAGTTTCACTTGGAATAAACTCAGTTTTGACAGTCTTTACTTTTTCTTTCTGACATATGAAGGAAGTCTTTGTGGGAGCTTGCCATTCTGATTTCTCAGTAGAAAGGAGGTCTTTCTCAAGCACCAAAGACATACCTTCAGATTCCTCAGGACATTTCACAAGGAGGGGTCCTCCACTGGTGTTTTCCTTGCTAAACATTTCTGTTTGTTCTTCCTTTCTAGTATCTAACAATGGACTTTGAAGCTCTAAGTTGACTTTATTTATGACCTTCAAAGTGCCAACATTTGCAGTAATTGCTTTTTGCTCTCTTACAAACAGATCCTTCTCAAGGCTCTCTTCAGAAGAGCACTCTATTCCTACAACAGTCCTTTTGCCTTTTGCTTCAGGATAGTTTTCTGGCTTGGGATAGTCTTTGTTCTGAGAAGAAAACTGGGATTCACAGGGCTTCCTAGTACATTTAGCACTGGAAATTTGGGTGTTACTTCCAGTATCCAATTCTTGCAATTCCCCAGACGTGTCTAGTCTTTGATGCTGAATTTCAAATACATCTGGAAGATCTGTTTGACATTCATCTCTGGATGATAGAATCTCCAGCAGCTCCTGATCCAACAGAAGCAGTCTCTGCCCAGTCTGTACATTAATGTAGCTGTGAGTCATCAGTTGAAACAATAGCTTCTCTCCATGGCTTACTATTTTCTCTCTTTGGCATGACAGGGGTAGGGTACCAGGAGCAACACCTAATTTACTTTGTTCTGCTGAGTCTGCTAGTTGTATGTGAGGCATAACATCAGGGATACAAATTGATCTTAAGTTATTCACAAGTTCTTTATCTAAGATACCACTCTCTGTTGCTTTCTTCCAGGACCAAATCTCTGTAACTGTTGGTAGAAAAAGAGCCTCAATTTGCTGTCGTTTACTGAGAATTTTATGTGCTAATTCAGTAGACACAATACCTTGTTCTAGAGCATCTGTAATTGGGAGTATCTCACCAGATTCAGGCCATAGTAACCCCATGAATGACCAGAGGGATTCCAGAATTACAAGGGCAGTCTTAGCAGCTACTAGATTATTGCTCACTGCTTCGTCCACTGTCATCCTATTCCCCGTGACAGTGTCAATGATGCCCCCTGTCTGAAGCTGCCTTATGAGAATAGCACAGGCCATATCTTGGTCAATCAAATTATGTCTCACAGCCTCTTCCACTGTAAGTCTGTGTCCTGTTCTTGGATCTACTATGCCACCAGCAAAAAGCTGAGCTTCCAGCAGTCGGACAGTGACCTGCTTATCTATCAATCCTTCCTGAACGGCACGGAAAATGCTAACCTTCCGACCTGACCTCAAGCTCACCATTCCCCCTGCCAACTGCTTGACAGGCAGCAATTTCAGGCCTGATTCTTGATGGATGATACACCTCTGCATCAGTTCCAGCAAGCCAACTTTCTCAGCTGTGTTAGGGTCTATCAAATTCTTGGATGATCTCAGGTGAGACTGTAACACTGAATGAAGCCATGATGAAATGAAACCTTGATGAAAAGCTTCTTCCAGATTAATACAGTTCTCACTTGGAGAGAGACTGAAACCTCCAGTTGCCAGGTGAGCTTCTAAGATTTTCAGTCCGAGTCTCTCACTGATTATTTTTCTTTCAATTGCTTCCACCACAGAACGGGGGCCTTGGGTCTCTGCAAGCCTGCTTATTAAGGACAGAGAATCCTGTAGCTCCAGGAGCTGTTGGTACATTGGAAGATTAATGAGGTTTCTGGCGAGACCCTCTTCCAAAGAGAGTTTTTCACTGTTCTCAGGGGCAATGAGGCCAGACATGATAACCTGGGATTCCAGGAGCACAAGGCCTGTGTCTTGGTCAATAAGGCCCTTTTGCATGGCTCTGAAGATGGGAAATATCTCCACTGTGCCTAGGTCAATCACCCCAGCAACAGCTCTGCAACCCTAAAAAAAAAAATTAAAATGAAAATTGAATCAGAGTCAATGGTAAAGTGTAACTATTAGAAGGAATCTTTTTAAAGAACCACAGCAGATAAAATTCTGAACACAAGAGAAACCTACACGAAATGTCAAATGCAAGCCAGGCCATTTATGCTAAGAAATCATTTTTCTAAATTGCAGAATATTTAATAGAGTCAGAAGTTCATAGATTGCTTAAAGTATAAAAGCATTAAACATAGCTGAGTAAAAAGTTTTAAAAAGAGGCAAGCAGTTGAACAAAAGATAGCTAGTTTTTTAATTTTTACATCTTATTTACATACTCAGAGTGTAAGGTATGTGTACGTGTATTCATGTAGGCATTCAAGAGCCAGAGCGCAAATGTGTAAGTAGTGGACAGCTGGTGGGACTCGGTTCTGTCCTTCCATCATGTGGGTCCTGGGTAGCAAACTCAGGTGATCAGCCTGACAGTGGGTATTCTAACTTGCTGAGCCACATTGCTGGCCTTGGGTAGTTAGTTTTAAAACTGTATACATATATGTGTGGGTATGAGTATATGAGTGTAGGTGCCCTAGTAGACCAAAGGTGACAGATCTCCTAGAGCTGGAGTTACAGATGATTGTGAACTGCCTAATGTAGGTATTGAATTCAAGTCTTCTGGAAGAGCAGTAAGTGCTCATAATCACTGAACCATCCATGCTCTAACATCTAGATAGTTATTTATAAGATCAAATTATTAGAAAGATTCTTACAGACACATACCAGTTCCCAATATAATTTCTCAGCGCTGCAGCCCATGTAGGCTCCGGAAACAGCTATTTTTTTTTGGGGGGGGGTGTGTGGCTGATAACAGGATTAGTACAAAGGACAAGAGATTTTTAGCTACAAAATAGTTGTACATCCTAATAAATGGGCTTGTATGTATCATTCAAGGAGTGTGTAATTGAGTTAACTCTCTTGGAAGCCAATTCTGGCTTTTCCAAAGGCAATGATTTTGACTTAAGTTAGTTTGAAAACCTGAAAGTAGTAAGTCAGGGAGGGAACAGATTAGGGACTGCAGATGGTGTAACTACTACTACAAGTGAGTTCCAGAAGCCAACCTGGCCTCCAGTCTTTTGCTATTATACTGTCTCTTTGGATGGTTTGGGAAAACAGCAAACAATAAAGCCACACCTTAAACAGAAGTTAGTCTCTAAATTCAAAGAATAAGGTAAATCTTTATATTATTAAAATTACCCTTGCAAATTCTAAAAACAGGCTGCTGATTCTCAATTTAAAGCCCTTTATTCCAAACTTTAAATCATTTAAGAGCTTAACTGCCTAGACTGCTTTGTTACTTGTATTACACTTCAAGTTTACAGTTCTTTTTTGTTTGTTTGTTTGTTTGTTTGAGACAAGGTCTCATTATGCAGCTCTGACTGTCCTAATAATTCACTATGTAGACCAGGCTGGACACAAATTCACACACCATGGTCTCCTGCGTTTGCCTCCAGAGTGTGGGGATTAAAAGCAGGTGCCACTATGCCCTTCCTAGTCATCATCTTTATTTTCTTTAATGACGTTATCTGTCTCCTCTTTGGACAGTGTTATTTTTGGTTTTTATTTAGCTCATGAAAACTTATTCGTACAGAATCTTGATTTGTCAATCACTTCCCTGTCTACTAACAAGTGTACCTAATTTCTAGTCTCAATGAGAAGCAAACTATATAAAAACATGGTTTGCCCCTCAGTGTACAGGGACAGTATCTACCATGCAGCAAACAAAGAATGAATAAAAATGTGTATGCAGACCCTTAGCACCATTGAGCTGCATCCTCCACATGAAGACTGCATGAAGAGTTTAAGCATGGTAACAGCGCATATGCATATAGAATGCGTAGCAAAGATTTGGTTCATGTCTCCATTTCATTGAATATGCTCAATTGATGATGGCACATTTTGGTATAATTCCCCAGGCTATTTTCTTCCCCAACTTATTTTCTGTAGTGTAGGGTTCAATTTATATAAGTAAAACACACAAATTATACAAATCTACTATATATCTATTTTATAGAGATTGTAAAAATTTCACTGGTGTATGACTCTTGTAATACCTAAAAAAATTCCTTTTTAAAAATCCACTTAAAGCCTGCTGAGAAAGAGATACTATGACAAAGGGGAAAACTGTTGAAAATTTACAGTTTTCTGTAAGATTTATAATCTCAAAAATACTGACATTGAAGAAAAGCCTGGAATCCAGCCAGAGAAAAGCCTTCATAATTCCTCCCAGCACCCTCATTACTGGAAGACAGACGGGCAGCACTGAGTTGGGAGGTAATCCAGTGAAATCCAGTCTACCAAACATGGACAGTCTGACTCAGATGAACAGTAAAAGACGGGGGAAGAAATGGAAAGAAAACATAACGGGCTTCTACTTACCCAAACTGCAGGGCCCGCCTCAGCAGGTAAGAGATAGAGCCTTATGGAGCAGCTCAGCCGTGTCACATACACAGTGTAAGCTTGGTGTTAGCGTCCAGCATGCGACTGTTTGTTTTTTGCAAAAAAGAACCCCAAACAGGTCGTCCTCTTTTCCCTTTGTGCATTTGTGCTTAAACTCCAAAGGGTTAGTGAAACTTGTAAGCAAGGATGTCAGTTAATCAGAACAACACTTTACATGAAACGCACAGTACAGGGACACATCATGCTCAATGTAGTGGTGCTCAGCAGCTTGTCTTTTTCTCTTTCTTTCCCCCCACCCCTTCTTAACCTTTCAAAATGAGAACTGGATGTTCTCAGCAAGCAATTGTTAAAACTTTTCACATACTCCCTTATATAGTGAAGCAACAAGCCACTGGAAGTGGGCTACATTACACAGAAAATTCTACACCAGCACATTCTTTTTGGAAATATACCATCAAAGCAGCACTGGTTCTACTCTGTAGATTTTATGAATTTACATATTTATATACATGGGCCAGAATCAAGATATTTGTTTGGACAATCATTTTGAGCATCATTAAACCAAATGTGTTTTATGACATATTGGCCTTCCCCACATAAACTGGCCATTGCTTCACAACATAGGAAATAAGCAGGCAAACACACATGTATATCCCAGAGACACACGAATATAATTTGGTTAAACGCACACACACACACATACACACATGAGTATCCAGGAAGAATTTAAGACAACCAACAGCAACTATGGCTTTCATAGGTACAAAATGAACGTGAAGTGAGAACTGTTAACTGTGCTGCATGATGGGATGACCATGGGCGAGGGGAACCAGCGTCTCAGTCAGTGAAGCTAATCTGCCAGATAGTTTGGTCACTCTGCGGTGCGGGGGAAGAGGTTTATAAGCATTTTCACGAGCCAACGTCTACAACTCTTGGCTATCAACCTTGGGTGACAAGGTCACAGAGGAGTAATCCTATCATATCTTATCATAAGGAATGTCATCAGACACAACACAGAATTTAAGTTCTCCTTAGCTGTTCTGATGTGCAGTGATTGAGTGGGGGTGGAAGTGGGAATGAACCAGATCCAGAGGGTTTGCTGTAAGTGCTCTCTAGTATTTCTGACTGACCAACACATCATGGAACCCCAGTAAAGAAACACATGATAAATGGCTGCTAAGGTGAGGTTAAATATTAAGTCACATTGGTCATGGAGAGCTAGTGAACATGATTCTCAATCAGCAAAGCCACTTTCATATCATTTAAATGGCACCCATAATACATGGATCCCCAAACTAAAAATACCTTTTGTTCTGTCTGCTGAGCCAGCTCGCTTTGGAGCTGCTGGAGCTGGTTGGCAGAGCCGTCACAAAGGTCATGATAAGCCTTGTTCAGGGCACTCAACTGCTCGGAGATCTGCTCCTTCTCTTTTTCTGAGAGCCTGAAAGATGAAGCATTACATCTTTCTCAGGGGAAAAATTCTCCAAACTATATTCAAAACCTGCTATATTGCTGCCATGAATGGATTATCTGGATATAACCAGTCTCCTATACTCAACTTTGGCATCTCACTCATATCCTTCTGTGATTCTCGATGATGTCAATGCTAAATAAATAACTCTTTGCTTGTAGTTCTGCAAATCTCAATCAAAATGATAGTCTCAATACCTTAGCCTTACCCATACACAGCAAATTTGGATGCTGAAATAATATAAAATTATTTTACATTTAAATTCTTAGACCTCAGAATATATGATAAAGTCCTACTTTATATTTTACTCCTCCTGTGGTTATTCTCATTTTAAACAAAGTATAAATTTCACTTACCTATTCTCTACCTAGTCATCTTTAACTTTTCTAATTTTTTTTTAAAAAAATTATCTATTTATTTATTTTATGTGCATTGGAACCTGGGCCATAGACAGTTGTAAGCTACCATGTGGGTCCTGGGAGTTGAACCAGGGGTCCTCTGGAAGAGCAGCCAGTGCTCTTAACCTCTGAGCCATCTCTCCAGTCCCCACTTTTCTTATTTTTAAAGTCTCTGTACATGGATGTATATTCTGAGCACATTCCTTTTCCTTGGTATCCCTTCCCCAGTCTTAGTCATTTTTGTTTGTTTGCTTTGAATTTTGATTTTAAGAGACAAGGTCTCTATGTAGCCTAAGAAGGGGCTGAGCTGGTGACCCTTCTGGTTTATTTCCCCACGATAGGATTACTACCATTCAATAGCTCATTTAACTCAAAGTTTTACTACTCAACCGCATTTGTTTTAGAACATTTTCTAGGAAACATGACACTACATATGTAACTAAAGCCACCATGTGTTTGTCACCAAGTTCATTCTTTTCCTGTCTTCCTAGAGGTTCACAACTTGAATCTGGTGAATACTAAAAGCCCCCCCATATTAATTCTGAGAATGAACTATGTCGATTTATGTTAGAATTACCTACAAACTCAATGAGATTCCCCAAGCCTTCTGTGGCTCTTCCAATTGTTCTTTACCTATCATCTTCTCTATTTGTCTTCAGTTTATCTTTGGCATTCAAACCCTGCAGTGGATTTTCTTAATATTATTCTTGCCTGTCCATTCATTAATTTGATAAAAACCTGATGTAGGTGGGCCTTGTTTCTATGTGTTGCTTTCATTGGTTAATTAATAAAGAAACTGCTTGGCCTGATAGGTCAGAATATAGGTAGGCGGGTGATGTAGGTGGGCCTTGTTTCTATGTGTTGCTTTCATTGGTTAATTAATAAAGAAACTGCTTGGCCTGATAGGTCAGAATATAGGTAGGCGGGGAAGACAGAACAGAATGCTGGGAGGAAGAAGGCAGTGAGGCAGACGCTGTACCTCTCCTCTCCAAGATGGATGCAGGTTAAGATCCTTCCTGGTAAGCCACCACCTCGTGGTGCTACACACATTAATAGAAATGGGTTAATCAAGATGTGAGAGTTAGCCAATAGGAGGCTGGAACTAATGGGCCAATCACTGTTTAAATGAATACAGTTTCTGTGTAATTATTTCGGGGGTAAGCTAGCCGGGATCTCCTTTTGTAACAAAAACCAGACCTCTAAGATCCACTGCTGCAAATATATCCTGTGAGGAAAGGGGATCCCGTAGCCATGTGGATATACTCCTGGTTTGCAATTTTAACTGGATCTGAGTATTTCCCTCAGAAAATCCAGGTGAGAGGCCAGAGTTAATCCCTTGTCATTTTGCCTGAGCACCACCCTAATCTTCAATAAACCCCTTTGCCTATTTAAAAAAGAAAATACATACGGACCACTAGAAATTACTTCTTTTTTTAAAAAATATTTATTTATTTATTATGTATACAGTATTCTGTCTGCATGTGTGCCTGCAGGCCAGAAGAGGGCACCAGATCTCATTACAGATGGTTGTGAGCCACCATGTGGTTGCTGGGAATTGAACTCAGGACCTTTGGAAGAGCAGGCAATGCTCTTAACCTCTGAGCCATCTCTCCAGCCCCCTAGAAATTACTTCTCTTACTTCTGGACTTCACTCTTGACAAAGATAACCTTTGTGCACACCTTTCCTGAGCCTATATCTCCTGACTAAAGCTGTACTTTCTAGCTACTAATTGATTCCAACCTCTCTCACTTCCTTCGTTTCTACAAGCTCTTCTCTGGGGGACTTAAGGCAGTGTAAACACAGCTGAGTGTCCTTCATGCTCTAAGAAGTCACAGTCTTCTGAGAGTATATCCCGTTCCTTGTTACTTGTGTTTAGTGCTTTCATCTCCAATGACCATGCCTTAGGAATCACAGCCCCTCATCTCTCATTTATTTACTGTTCACCATGCTGACTCTGAACTCACCCATCAACTTTTCATCAGTGCCACCAAAAAGTTCCGGCTGCCAAATATATTAGATATTCATTAATCTTTCTTGACTGTTGAACCCCCTCCTCTTTGGAACTTTCTTGGGTTCTGAGGTATTACTCACCAACAATTTTCTATTCCTTCTCTGAAATTCCCTTTACAAACTGAGAAGACCTAAAAGTCTTTTAGGTAAATTTACCTTTATGATTTCTACTATATTAATGACTTAAAATCTTTGTCTTTTTAAGACTTCTGTCATTAATTCCAAACTTGCTATGACCTGGCCACAGGGAATCTTTAGTGAGTCTACATAAGGTAGTCCACAAATCTTACTAAATATCAGGTATTTCTACTCTGACGTTCTAGAGGCTATCATGTTCAACAATGTCTAAGCTGCATTATTCTGCAACTTACTCCTTTTTCTGTTTCTTATCTTTGTGATTGATATCATTATATGATCAACAGCCTATGCTAGAAGCCTAGCAAGTTTTTTGTTTGTTTTGTTTTGAGACAAGGTCTCAGTATATAGCCTTGGCTGGTCTAGCGCTCACTACATAGATCAAGCAAACCGGCCTTGAATTCAGAGATCCATTTGCCTATGCTGGGATTAAAGGTATGTACCACCATGCCCAGCAAGTCTAGCAGTTTATTTAATGATTTTTCCAAAGACTCATTCTTAATATTTTTTTAATTTCATACATTTATTTAGCATATGTGTATGTGCACAGGCACATGTGTACACATATGGAAGTCAGCAGTTAATTTGGCGAGTCAGTTTTCTACTTCTACCCTGTGGGTCCTGGGTATTAAATTCAGGTTGTCAGGCTTGGTAGCAACTTTATGTGCTGAACCATCTTGCTGTCCCCTAGCTCTTGAATGTTTGTCACCGCTGTAATCTACCACATTTCTTGCACTCATTATCAGGACAGCCTCTTAATTTGCTTCTTGTCTTCTATCCTGTACCCCCATGTCAATCATGCTTAAAATTAATTCCCATATCTGACAAGAATTAAAAACCAAAACAAAAAAATTCCTCAGTACAAACTAAAAGGCTCTCGACAATTGGCTCTTGTTGCCAAGAATTCTCTATTCAAACTTCTCATCCCAAACCTAAGATTCAGCCAGGTGAAAAGGTTACACTCACTTATGACCATGCTTAGCCAAGAAGATCTGTGACGTTTTAATGGCCTCAGAAACTTGTTCTTTCTTGGTTGTCAGTTCTTCTGTCAGAACCTAGTAGTAGGAAATAAAAAGAAACTTTTCAAACAAGATTTAAACAAGTCAAACATGATTTCAAATAAATTTTTAAAACCAAAGGAGAAAATACAACCTAGGTCAAATATTACAAATGAGCTACAGATGTTTTAAACAGTCAAGAAAACAAATAAGACAGCTGAAGTTGTTGTAAGTCTTAGAAGTTAGCCTTTTTTAAAGTAATACTTTAGAATAAAACGGCCATGAGAATTGTTGTTTCAATGAATGATTCCACTAACCTGCTGCTCCAAAATGGCCTTTTCAATGTCTGTGGACGCACTGGTGTGGGATGAGGTAGCTGTTCCTTGTGTATTTCTTGCCAGGGTAGATACCCAACCCAAGAGTTCTTTAACCTTCTCCACATGTTCCTGCTTTTCCTCTTCTACCACTTTCTACAGCAGGAAATAGAAAGTTGGTACTGTTGTCAGTCTCGTTGTGCTGTATGACTTCATGATTCCAAAGCCAGACAGGAAATGAATTGTTCTTTACATACAGAATCTTGCTAACTTTCATAATTTAGGTCTAGGCTAATATTGAAGTGTTTAATATTCCTAAGCCTCGGAGGGCTATGACATGTCTTAGAGATAAATCTATCTTTGATAAACATTTTGCAGAGAAAAGTGATAGTGTTTCCATGAACCAATAATACACATTAAATAAAGTATCTTTAAACAAAAATGCATACAAATCAAGGCTGTAAATGTAATCCAAGGCTTATAGAAAGCAACTATTTCCCATTAGAACACTGGTTTAGTATTTACCAAACTTTCTAGAACATGATCACTGTAAATACAAGACAAGAACTGCATGAACTTTACCTTTTAAAAGATGAGATATAGGAATTCTAGTATGTAGTGCGAGGATCAACTTTAAGACTTGGCTCATGGTAGCTATAAGCTCACTAATGAGCCACACTCTCTGCCTGAGGCTCAGTTTTTTTGTTGTTGGTTTATCAAGACAGGGTTTCTGTGTATAGCCCTAGCTGTTCTGACACTCACTCTTATAGACCAGGCTGGCCTCAAACTCTGAGATCCATCTGCCTCTGATGCCTCTGTTGGGATTAAAGGCATGGGCCACCATGTCTGGTGAGACATAGCATTTGTTTTTTATCGTGATTTCAAGAAGAATTAGGACCCAACTATCCTCACCTCTTCCTCCTCTAACCGCCGGAGAGCATCGCTGATATATTTCACATGCTGAGTTGTTAATGTCACCAAAGCTGTGTATCGAGTCCTCAAGTCCATGAACTATATAAAGAACAATTTAGGTAAGTTATCTGCTGGAAAAGTAAAATTCAATAGCTGGAAATAAGGAGGACAACGGAAAGGTGACACAAATGAGATCTTTTCTTAAGGGAAGATGGTGGCATCCCTCCTTTCCTGCTCACCTCCTGTGTGATGGCATCTGAAGAGGAGAGCATGCGGCGGCGCTTGCCAGGGGATTTCTGCTGCGATTCCACAAAGGCCTTGTATGTCATCAGCTGCAACTCATAGTCCTAGGAGAAGGAGAAACTTGACTACCTTTGCACAGACCTTCATAGCTGACACATTACACAACAAAACCATAGTACTTTGTTGCTAGATTATGTTTACTATTTGTTCAGACTAGTTTGGCAACTATTGGGCCATTCTGCCTGTCAGAAATACTAATTCTGTCTCTATAAATGAATGTAGCTATTTATAGTATGGAAATGAAGGAAAATCACTGTTGCAATATAATTTATGTGCACTCAAAGTTCAAGTTCTTATCACTTTATTTATTTATTGTCTGGGTCTCATGTAGCCTAGGGTGGTCTCAAACAATCTGTGAAGCAAAAATATTGACCTTGAACTTCTAATACTCCAAGAGTGTATGGCACAGATTCAGCCTGTGGGTCATACATAACCTGCTGAATCCTGAATTTCTAACTTGTGATTTGATACCCAATTCTTTGAACTCACTCTTAAGGGAACTGAAGTTCAAACACGGGAAGTGGATTTCCCTAATTAATCCAGCAGAGATTAGAAACTTTCCAAAGCCTTTAAAAACGCTTTTCTCATTTTACTACATATACTGTGCTTCCTCTGCAACCTGCAGCATTTTTCCACCCCCTTCCACGCTTTCTTCATTTAAACAGTATCTTATTTATCTTCCCTACTTCTACTCTCATCTGCTACTGCTATCTTTTCCAAAAAGCAAATATGATCACCCGTTCCTCTAAAATCTTTCAAGGATGTATACCCTACTTTGTCAAACATCAACATGTATAGAAACCATCTGGGAAGCCTGTGAACTATGTGATCAGATACAATAGATGGGAGGGCACTTCAAGCAGTCTCTGTGATGCTGACACTGCTGGCGGGGAGTGGTCTCTAGAAGAGACCTACAGTGATGGTGAAATCTTCCTAAGATGGAGATCATTTACTCCTTCTGGGATGTGGTACAGTTACCTTCACAATAGTGGAGTACTGCTGGGAAAATTTTTGACATTGGTCCAGTTTTGTCTGATTTCTCTCAATTTCTGCAAACAGTTCCTAGAACCAAAATATCACATTACCATTGAGATATCATCACTAAGCGGTGAACACTTACTATATTCTATGGTGGTGACTCTCAAGCCTTAGAAGCATCACAATCAGATTGAAGGGCTAGGCCTAGATCTTGAGTTGGGCCCAGGAACCTTGATTTCTAACATGGTTCAGGGGATATTGATGCTACTGGTCTACATCCCTTTAATATTTTACATGTACAATTTCAAGTAATTCTTGCATTAACTTCATCAGTCAGGCTAAAGGAATAATAAACTATATATTTTAAGAATAAATTGTAAGAACCAAAGTTACATTTTAAATTTTAATAATTTTAATTACTATGCCTTAGAGATCCATGAAACAAAAATGTCTCTGATCTGCAAGTCCCTTGCCCAAGGACAGACAGTCCCTGAAATGCTGGAGGCTGTTGTTTACTATGGAAAATAATAAGCCATGTGTTTTTCATTCCCCTAAACAAGTTTGTTTAACCAATCTGCACTAGATATGCTTGGTCACATGTGGACGGAAGGTTTACAGGTAGGAAATTCATCAGGATGTATGCTTGCCCCTGATTGGACCAGATGAGAAATGCAATAAATTATGAATTTTCCCTCTTAAGCCACTGCAAACTGTGATTCTGGGCCATTTCCTAGGACCTGGTCAGAGCCTATCAACCTGCCAGTATTTAATTAAAGCCTGCTTCAAATTTGGCTTCAAACTGTGGTACTGGTCTTACTCTCAATTGGTAGGATTAACAAAAGAAGTAGAAAACTGAAAGATAATTAATTTCTTCAAAGTTTTATAGCTAGAAGGTATGTAAGCCATGACAGTAATCAATTAAACTCCACACCTCATATACTTAATAACACAGTATGAAGCAAAACAAAACACCACCACCAACAAGAAAAATTCTCTAAATGAAGCAATTTTCTTCCAAACCCCATGATCCGGTTCTAGCAAAATAAAATATAACATAAGAAGCAAAATGGAGATGTTTAATAATTTTAATATATGACCATAGAAACTCAGGATTGAAGGTCCTAATGGGTCTGTCTCTGGCCTAAATGTTAACAGTATCTTTTTTGTTTGTTTGTTTTGTTTTCTTAGACAGGGTTTCTCTGTGTAACAGCTCTGACTGTCCTGGAACTCAGTCTGTAGACCAGGCTGGCCTTGAACTCACAGAAATCCGCCTATCTTTGCCTCCTGAGAGCGTGCACCACTACAGCCTGGCAAGAGTATTTTATAAAAATAAGCAAGGAGGCAGAGGCAGGAGGATCTCTGTGAGTGCAAGGCCAGCCTGGTGTCAGAGCGACTTCTAGGACAGTCTCCAAAGCTATAGGAAAACCCAGTCTCAAAACACAAAAACAAGCAAACAAACAGTACATTAAGACTATCCTTTGAAATCTAAGAGCAGGCTTAGATGTTTTGCTGGAGGAAGGTTTGATTGCTGCAGTATTATCATTTTTTAGGATGAGCTAACTCAACACTCACCGTCTGCTGACTGAGCTGATCTGACAGCACTCGGCTATCTTCTGCCTGGCCTGGCTTCATCAGCTCCTGCTGGGCAGTGGTTTCCTCAATCCACTTGATAAGAGTTCCATGGCAGGCTCGGTAATCTCTCAGAATTTCCTGGATACTTTCCACCTCAGATTGCCTAGAGGGACAAAGGGGAGCACTGTTAGACATCTTAATGTTAATATAAATAGAGCACAATGAGTGAGCCAGTTTCCTTTTTGGAGGATGCAGTTTTATTTATAGGAATAGTGCTGCAAGGCTGAGTGATACCTATGTGTGTAGTCAGGGCCCTAAAAATGAATAGAAATGGGTTGTTTTCATAAAAATTTCACAAAAATCCTACAGAGCCCAAGCATCTCATGATAATTCCTATCAAATTTTTCCATTTTACAGATTAACTGCCAGAGTGCCAGAGCCACGATTTGGAAATCACTGTAATTTCTTTCTTTTTCCCTCTTGGGTTTTTTTTTTTTATCCCCCGAGATAGGGTTTCCTTGTATAAGAGTCCTTTTTTTGCTTTTGTTTTTTGAGATAGGGTTTCTCTGTGTAATAGCCCTGGTTGTCCTGGAACTCACAGAGATCTGCCTGCCTCTGCCTTCCAAGTGCTGGAATTAAAGGTGTGCACCACCACACCTGGCTAAATCACTGTAATTTCTTGTAGCAGAAGGTGAGGAAAGATAGGTCCTTATACAACTTAAAATCTCATTGCACAATTTTCCACAAACACCATCAGTCAAATCCATTGAACTTATAAAAACAAATAACCCTTGAGTATCAAAATAAACGAAAATCTATTCGCCTCTTTCATTACCTGGAATTAGAATCTTTAGATATCCTTTGGTATCATTAGGGTAGCAATTTAAGCAGAGACAACAGTGGACTTGAATGAGTCCCTGCACATGTTCCTACTCTTAGACCCAGGAAAGCCAATTTTCTGTCTTTACCAGTCATACCTTACATCAGATGACAGAAGTAAAGCAGATCCACTAAATCAACATGGTGATAGAAGCACTGAATTCTATAAAGCCTCACTCTGAAAATGGATCAAATTTAAATTCAAACCTAATTAAAACAAGCACCAAAACCTTGGTTCTCTCCTTAAAAAATGGTCACCATAACACTATTCAAATCTATATTATAAAAACATATGGCATTATAGATGTGGCTAAGCGGCGCAAGGCTTGCCTAGCATGTGGAAGAACGTAGGTTTACTCCCAGGCACCGGACAGAAGGATCACGGCTGTCTCAAACTTGGGGATGTGAGGGCGATCAGAGCCTACTGACCGGTCAGAGCTGACTGAACTGATCTGACTGGCTAGGTGGATAATCCCTCCCAAAGCTTTGCTTCCCTCCAAGAAAAAAGCTCTCAAAAACAAGCTGTGGGCTAGGAATGTAGTCTAGTGATGGAACACATGCGTTAGGGTCGTAGGTCTGCCTTACAATAGAGGATTCCAATGTTCTGGGGCTTATCTTGTTCAGAATTCATGCTGTTTTAAAATTCTGCACCCCGTATCAATTCCTACTTCTAGACATGAATGCTAAAATAGTTGGTAACTGCTTCTGTTTAAGCCTTACTCCCTGAACCCCAAGAGGAGGAAAGCTAGGATGCCCCTCACCGGGTTTCCAGCTGGGCAAGGACTCGATGCCAGCGCTCCTGAAGCTGAGAACCCTTCTCCTGATAACGCTCCAAATCCAAGTTTTGCTCTGGTGTTAGGTGACGAAGCTGTTCTGCCACTTCCTTTGCCTTAGTGATTTCCTCATCCAGGACTGAGAACACTGAATTCTTATCCTTCACGTCATTAAGCCAATGCTACAGAAACATAAGAAACAGGTCAAATATTTTTCTTCCTAAAAAAGACTCAGGCTAAGACAAGCAAAAGGACAATGTCTGCGGCAGAGTCTACAGTGTATCAGTGACCCAGAAACCAGGCCCAGAGCACCACACGGGAAAATGTGCAGAGAGTTCTTCATGTATGAAATCTGACTTTACTACATATAAGTTATGAAAAGGCTTGTGGCTGGCTTAGATCTTGGTGTTTTCAGTCATCAAGAGACAAACACCCCTCTCCTATTCACTTCTTAGAGCGGCTGTGAGAGTGGCAGTGAAGCCACAGCAAAATGCCTTACAAAGCTATTTTGATACAATCATTGGTTATATTTAATAAACCATAATTTTACAGGAGAAAAGCGTTTTTGTCCCATCCCTTTTAGCTTTTTCTCTTTCCCTTTGACTACATATTATTAAAATATATTAAAACAATTCTCTGCCTAATTCAAGGGCAAACATGCATCAGTGTTGAGTCATCCCCCCTGAATCCTCTGTAACCCCAAAGCAGTGGTAAATCAACCTATTAGGAAACTAGAGCAGCCAACCTGTAGTGTGGCCCGATGGGACTCCAGAGCTGAGAGGTCTGCTGGCACAGCTTCTTCTTGACTCAGCTTGATCTCATAACCTTTGACCAGCAGTTCAGCATCTTGTATGCTACGTACTATCACATCAATAGTCTTTAATCTGTGGGGATAAAATCAATTCTTTAATTTAATTTTTTCCCTCTGAGACAGGGTTTTTCTGTGTAGCCCTGGCTGTACTGGAGCTTACTCAGTAGACCAGGCTGGTCTTGCTTCTGTCTACAAAGGGCTGGGCCACAGCATGTACCACCATGCCCAGCTCAGCACTTGAGTTTTATAATGTGTATTACCTAGGATCACAAAATACAATTGCCCAAACCAATTTTATCACATTAAATAATAACAGGCTTTTGTAAAAATGAGAAAGTCTGATACATAAATATTGTTAGCTTAAGCTAGCTCAGAGTGAAATTCTAAGTGGTACCGGGACATGCCACCTTTGGTGGCAAGAAGGAATGAGGCTCTCTTCCACTTTCCTTACTATATTTAACTGTTATTTCAAAGGTATCTAATCAAATAGAAATGAGGTAAGAAATGACCTAACAATGCAAATTTATTCATCACCCATAATATTGACATTTGTTATTACAGTCCAAGTAAACCCACTCCATGTTACTTAGGAACTGAAGCCAAAATTTCTCAGCATAGATACCTGCTCTTCAAGATCTGTAGTCTTCCTGGATCATTCATGGAATGATCTCAATTAAAAAAAATACCTGCCCTTTGAATCCAAGGTTTCAACTTACTCAGACTGACAGTAGACAGAGCACAGACAGACACAGACCATGGATATGGTACTCACTTATTCAGATAGACAGTAGACAGACCATAGGTGTGGTCCATCTTCTCTACCATTAGGTTCAGCTCTGAGCGCAGAGTGGTGGCACTTGAGCCTGATGGAGACTGCTGAAGAAAGATGCTACATTTCACAGAAATAGCATCCAAGTCAGATCTCAGACGCTGCAAATCCTCTTGAGTGTGCTATCAGGAACAAAACGCACGATAACAATGGAGACATATGAACAACAATGTTAGAAAGTAGTCCTTATCTTCAGTGGAAAAGTACTGGAAACGAATCAATTCAATAATATATTTGTAGCTTAAATCCTCATTTTCCACAGTAAATGGCACTGTTGTAGGCTGAATTCCTGAGTAGGACTGTCTTAAGCCTATTGCCTCATTTCTTAGAATCCTTACATGTTTGCTTCCTAATTCATTCTAAAAGGATTTCCTCTTCTTCCTGCATCTTACCTCCTGCTCTGCAATCCTTAATGCAATGTCCTGCCTGGCATCTCTGTCAGTCTTAGAGCTGGCTGGAGACTGAATCTGTTTGAGGAGTCTCTGCTCACACTCCTCCAGGCGTAGCCGGATGTTCTTCAGCTCTGAGATGTACACTTTGGCTACAGACTCTTCTTTGTCCTCTATCAACACACAAGCACAGATCACTTAGCTTCATCTGAGGACAACAGAGCTTACTTAAGACAAAAGGCACCACTGGCTCCAGCAGATGAGAAGTCCCATTGATGAAAGCAAAGTCTTATTCTGGAGACCTGCCTGATGCTCATTACACACTGACATTAGGAGTCTGAACATTTTACATACACCAAGAAATGTGACAGGTCGGTTATCATTAACAACCAAAGAGTATCAACTTCCACAGCAAGACTGTGAGAACTCATCTCTAAGGTTTTCTGTATTAGAAGGGTCGTCAGCACCCTTCAGGGTGCTCTCCCACTGCTCTCCCTCCCTCTGCCTCTTGCACACACCATTCTCCATTGATTTCATCAGGTGCTGGAAGTGGGCTTTACAAACTTCCACTTCCTCTTCCATTCGCAAGCGATCAGCCACTGAGAAGACAGAAGAGTCATGACTGTCCTGTAGAAAGTCTTCATAGTGGGCCTGGAGGTTCTTCATAACCTGATGGCACTCTCCTGGGGCTAAGGAACGAAGCTTTTAAAAAATAAAATAAAATAAAATCAATAAATAAATTTCAATAGAATAGAAAAATACTATTTTCACTCTCCTTCCTTTTTTAGAAATATATTTTTATTTTTTTATGTGCACTGGTGTTTTGCCTGCATGTGTGTCTGTGTGAGGGTGTCAGATCCCCTAGAACTCAAATTACAGATAGTAGTGAACTGCCATATGGATGCTGGGAGTTGACCCTGGGTCCTTTGGGGAAAAAAAAGTCAGTGTTCTTTTTCTTTCTTTTCCTTTTTTTTTTCTTTCTTTTTCGAGACAGGGTTTCTCTGGAGCTTTGGAGACTGTCCTGGAACTCACTCTGTAGACCAGGCTGGTCTCAAACTCACAGAGATCCACCTGCCTCTGCCTCCTGAGTGCTGGGATTAAAGGCGTGCGCCACTACCGCCTGGAAAAGTCAGTGCTCTTAACCACTGAGTCATATCTCCAGCCCCTTTCCTTCCTTTTTTTGTTGATTCTGTCATATATACAAAAGTGTACAAATCGGCTGGGCACAGTGGCAAATGCTTTTATTCCAAGTACAGAGAAGACAAAGGCAGAAAAATCTGTGTGATTTCAAGGTCATCCTGGTCTACACAGTTCCAGGACAGCCAGGGTACAGAGTGAGACCCTGCCTCCAAAACAAACAAACAAACAAACAAATAAGTGTAATTGCTGTTAGCATGTTGATTTTCACTATAAAAACCCATCAATATAATCAACATTCAGAGTAAACAGTAGCATAATAGCACTCCCACACCAGAATATCCCTTGTGCTCCACTGGACAATGTTCATTGTTCTACCCACATTCAGTCTTACTATGTAATGTATGTTGGCCTTGAACTCATAATCATGTCTCAGCTCCTGGACTCACAAGTTATGCCATTAGTTCCACCCTGGATATGAGTCAATAAAAAGCACACTAGTGTGCACACACTCCATACTCTACCTGCTCACACAGTACACTAGTGTGCACCCACTTCACATTCTACCTGCTCACACAGTACACTAGTGTGCACACTCCACACTCAACCTGCTCACACAGTACACTACTGTGCACACACTCCACACTCTACCTGCTCACACAGTACACTAGTGTGCACACTCTACCTGCTCACACAGTACACTAGTGTACACACATTCCACACTCTACCTTCTCGCACACAGAGATGGTGCTTGTTCTACATAGTGAGAAGACTGAACTCCCTCTTATTTTCCCCATTTCTTTAACCATTCTAATTGCCACTTTTAGTTGCTAATAAAGCTCTCAGGTCCTTAATACTGAAGTATATCCTGGACTCTACTTTCCTTCATTAATCTGGGGGACAAGTATCAGTAATGAAAGAACTTCTGATAAAGCTTACTCTTCAGGTATCAGACAGAGGTAACAGCTTCACAATTACCTTTTCTATGTTCCAGGTTTGTACGAGGTCAAGGTCCTTCCGCAGATAGTTCCAGGAGATAAGGCTTTTGGTGTTAACGTGCAGCTGGTGCCAAAGAGCCATCACCTTCTGGTAAGATTGCTCTACCCTAGAAATAACGGAGGTGCATGTCAGAGCTCTGACTGCAAGGTAGAGCTTGGGTGCTCAGAGGAAGAGGTAGCAAGTTCTGACAATAAAGGCATCTTTGGAATTCAGTGAGACATTCATTTGGACCGCCTATAGTATTCTGTCAGAACACACCTTCAGTAGCACAAACGTTACCGGCATGTAAAAAGATTGCCAGAAGCCAGAGAGAAGAAATAACAAGGAAAGCATGAATAAAAGAGTATAGATAAAATATCCTCATTGGAGCTATTGGAAAACCGCACCATTACTTCTTACAAGTGCTTTACTGTTCTCCACGCAGTCAAAACATGCTGAAATAATTACAAAAGCTACTGAAGTTCACTTGGGAAACAAGGAAACTACAGATTAAAATTTTCCAATGGCAGAGAAAGGTAGATCTCTGTGAGTTCAAGGCCAGCCTGGTCTAGAGGGCTAGGCAAAGAAGTCCTATCTTGAAAAACAAAAATTAGAAAGGAAAACTAGGCAACAGGATCTCTCAGTTACATAAAAAATAAAGATAAAGAGGGCTGGAAGGATGACTCAGAGGTTAAGAGCACTGGCTGCTCCTCCGTCCTGAGTTTAGTTCCCAGCACCCACATGGTGGCTCACAACCATCCATCATGAAAAACAGCTGGCTAGTAGTGGGGCACTTGAAACCTCTAATGGGAGGTTTGTACTGAGTAGCACACTGCCATAGTTACCTGCTGGCCATCTCAATGGCATCCTTATTGGGAGGGGGAATGATGAAGCAGACTGATGGCACCATTGCCTCGTTCCCTGTAGGGCTGATCACCTTCCATTTGGTCCTCTGAGAATTATCTTCCAACACACATTCATCATTTTTGCAAATAGTGATCTGAAAAGATGAAGTCAAATTATTGCTAATAGAAATCTAATAACAGGCCTGATCCCAAGGCTATGAAATATCTAAGAAAAAAGTCTCCTTAAGAAAAACATCTGCAGGGCCATAGCATCACTTAGTCAGTAAAGGTTCTTGCTGCCAGGCCTGATGACCTGAGTTCAGTTTCTGGAATCCACATGGTGGAAAGTAAAAACCAGCTCCCAAAGGCTGCCGTCTGGCTTACACACTCACACTGGAATACATGTGCACCATGGAACTCCTGTGTCCCCTGCCATTTACACAAGCATATACATAAGCATAAAATAAATGCTTTCCTTAGGTTCAGTGCATAAAGGATTTTTTGTGCGAGTATGAGAACGAAAGTTCAGCTTCCTAGTATCTCATGAAAGTCAGGTGGGCAAGGCAGACCACCATAATCCCATCAGTTAGGAGGCAGAGGAAGATATCGCTGGGACAAGCTGGCTGGCTAGACCAGTCCAATCAGTAAGCTCCAATTGCCAAGAATCCCCACCTCAGTAAATTTAGTCTGGAGAGTGATGGAGGAACTACCTCTGGCCTCGACATACACAAGCATCCTGGTGTACATATATCCTGTCATGTAAACACATATGCATGCATGCATACACACCATACATGCATATATAGGCAAAAAATAAGTTGTGTTACTAAGGTAGTATTTTTGTCCACTATTGCTAGCAAAAGTATATTCAATAAATCTGTTTTCTTTCTTTAAGAAAGAAAAAGAAAGAAAGGGGAAGTAAGGATTGATTTGCTACCACTTAGTGAGGGTCCCTAAAATTTATAAATCCATAGACCCATCAAGTAAGTTAAGGAAAGAGGTATTAATCAAGTGCCTATCACGGGGAATAATGAGCATGTGAGTTACAAGGAGACCTTAAGACCGTCAAGAGCTATCTCTGGACCAACATCTATGGATTAAGAGTTGCTGGGATATGTATCACAGCTCTGCTTCTGGGACACGCCTCCCCTCTCTTCCTCCTCTTCCTACCAGGCTCCTAAAAACGTTTGATCATTTTGTGTCATCAATTCTTTCTCTTGAGAGACAAATAATAAACACAGTCTGCTTTAGAAAAAAATGTTGAGACAACTATTTTAACTTGTTTTTGTTTTTTACACTATGTAGTCAAGGCAGACTTGAATTTGGAGTGACTCTCTAGTGCCAGGATTAGAGAGGTACATGAGACTCATTTCACTCACACTCATGTCTGCTATGTGTCAGGGGATGTGCTGTATCAGCTATAACACAGAGGATAAAAGTAGCACAGTGGTCAGCAAACAAACATGCCCTACATCCAAAACTTTTGGGGCAGGAAAGTCTAGTACCACAGTTTTCTGTGACAAATGCAGTACCAGGAAGTGGTACAAAGGATGAGCTAAAGACATATTATTTAGAACCTCAAAGCCACATTAAGGAGTTAAAGCTTCTCTCCCTAAGAACAACAATGACATACTGTAGCACCAACACAGGAGTATAGCTTCCTTAAGAAGAATGTGCTGAGGGGCTGGAGAGATGGCTCAGCGGTTAGGAGCATTGCCTGCTCTTCCAAAGGTCCTGAGTTCAATTCCCAGCAACCACATGGTGGCTCACAACTATCCGTAATGAGGTCTGGTGCCCTCTTCTGGCCTGCAGGCATACACGCGGACAGAATATTGTATACATAATAAATTTAAAAATATTAAAAAAGAAGAATGTGCTGGAGGTAGGATAAGAATGAACTAAATGAGAAGGCTAGTATACCAATCCAAACACAAGAAACACACAATCTGATTTAGGCATAGTAACAGCAGCCCCGAGAGATGATTTACAAGTTAGCATTGACTTGGTGACCCTATGAGCTGTAGGAACAACCATGACAAGGGAGCTAAATGTATCCCCAAAGTGTAACAAAGTCCTTCTCCATCAACACTTACACAGTGAATGGATGATGACACCAATCACTAAGGCAAGGAGCACATCAGGATTATAGACTGGAGGGTTTGTTGTTTATGTTGATAAAAGACTACATTTAAATTCTCATTTTAAAATCCTCTTCTCTTGCTTTTAGATCTTTTCGGTCTCTCTCTCTCTTTCTTATAAAGACAGGGTCTCAAATAGACCCAACTGGTCTTAAACTCCATATCCTCTGACCTCCATAAATACCCGGTTTATAGACTTAGTGTTTTACTTTTTCCTGTAGTGTAACACTAATTGAAGGCTTCCCTTCTCATATCCTTCCTTTTAGAGGCCAGGTACCTGCTCCTCTCTCACCTCAATCTGCCGGTAGTCACAAATGGCCTTCACAGATAGAGTGCTCTTTAGCAGATGGTCTGGATTGCGCGGTTTTAGCTGGACAATCGTTTTTGATCTCCCAACAAGACTGGCAACGGAACTCTTGGACTGTATAAGCTGCTCCTTTTCATCCTATAAAACAAGAAAAACAAAAAGACATTAATGTTGGTATTCTGAGTCACTAAGTCAATAATGAAAATGCAATGCTCCACTCCCTACGAGAATGTCATTTCTCAGTTAAGTAGGGACCCTTAGTGGAGCTATCTTAGATAATGGTATAGACAAGGATAAAGAAAAAAAGGAGAGAATGTCTGTCTTCTTTCAGATGCTTTTGTACTCTAAAGTTGCAGCTTTCTCCTTGTACTCTAAACAATGACCAATGAAGCCGCATGCAAGAAATAAATAAATAAAACAAATGCCTAGTTGCCGAGCACAGCAATGGAACTAATGAAGGATTTTCTCAAATACAGCTCAGAACAAATGTTGCTGATGAGAGCATCATGACAAATGATTTAGGATTTATCTTGCCGTGCTGTATTCGCATAAATTTGATTGGCTTGAATGTAGTATCATGCAAAAAGTCAAAATTCTAAAATCTCTGCAAACCCAATTATCTTAAAAGCTAATAAACTTGTCAACAAAATTGGTAGCAGAATGCTATCAATTCCATTGGAGAGTAAATGATAATCTTTATCTACTGTCCAGAATGGTCCAACCTATGGTGAGATGTGAAAGTCCCCAGAAAGAGGGCTTTCTTAGGATGGACAGGGATGCAGTAAGAGTAAAGAGTTAGTAATGTTAAGAAATATACCATTAAAGAATTAAGAATATGCAGGTAAAGAAAAAGAAATTCTTAAAAAAACTACCTGTGCCTGTCCCCGGGAGCATGATTGGAAGAAATACAACTTTAACTTATTAGTTAAGAAAGAGGAATGGAAGACACAGGGGAGACAGCCACACTTCCACACTTGAGAGCTGGTCTTCCCATCACAGTTTCCTTGCAATAAAGATGTCTAACCCACAAGTCAAACATTTTTAGATCCAAAGACCAAGTGTTCAATGTAGGAAAAGCTCTGAAAAGAACCAGAGGCCAAGACAGGTGCTCTGGAACCTGGTCAAGAAGCTGAGGAACAGACACAGCCATGACTCCTTGCCCCAATGATGTCACCAACCCGATGCCCCTGACCTGGAGAAGAGGGAACAGAGCAGCAACCACCCTCCTTGAGAAGAGAAGATACGACAACTGCAGAGGGGTTACCCTATGACAGGAAGGTACTCTGTGGGGAGGAGAGCAGAGCCAAGGATGACAGTCCTCCTTCACACCTGTAGTACCTCTGAGAAAGACATTTTAAAGACAGTAACTGTAAAGTCAAGTTTGTATCCTTCATTCCAAGTTAACATTCCATTGCCCAAGTGAAGCACTGAATGTAAGCCTACTCATGTCTGAAGTCATTATAAAAAAAGAAAGAAGGGAAAAGAGAGAAAAAATGAAAAGAAAATTAGGACAGGGATAACAGTGGTACGGAGCTTGCATGTTGTAAACAAGACTTGAGGTTTGATCCTCAACACAAAAAACGTCCTACTTTCACCCAAAAAACAAGTAAGTTAGGGCGGTGGTGGCACACGCTTTTAATCCCAGCACTCGGGAGGTAGAGGCAGGTGGATCTCTGTGAGTTCGAGGCCAGCCTGGTCTACAAGAGCTAGTTCCAGGACAGGCTCCAAAGCTACTGAGAAACCCTGTCCTGGAAAAAAAAAAGTAAGTCAAATAAATAAAGCTAAAGTAAAGCAAAACAAAAATGCTTTTGAGTTATAAGAAAGACAAAAATGTGTCTCTCTTATTTGGACTCATCTCCTGAGATGTGCAATCTTCTAGTTCCTCCCCTGCAATGCTGCCGAGCCCTGTCTTGACATTTCTGTATATTGCACTCAATAAACACAGGTTTTGCAGCTGAGTTTACAACTGCAACTCCTAAAGAAATAATTTATTGGAGCAAATAAATCTAAAATTGATTTTGAATAAAAACTGTATAAAGAACTATCTTTAAAAGTTAATATTACATTTTAAAAATGGACAAATATTGTATTATCTCTACTTAAGATATTAATGCTGCCCTTAGTAACCAAAATTAACTTCCTAATATCTCATCATTACCAAAAGAAAACGGTCAGGAGAAAAAACTGGTTCAGATCTCTGTGTGTGTTTCACAGAGTAAACACCTACTATGCCACTTAATCTCTTGAGCATCAGTCTCGGCTCTAACGACAACAAAACAAGGATGACGCAGAGAAAACATGGGCACCAGGTGGCCCAGGGGACAGTTACAAGGACTTTGCTTCGTAGCTCCCCAAAGGAATCTCATCAGCAACTTCTTCAAAGAAAGGAAACAGAAGAGATGACAGCACTGACTGGACAACTGGGAGGTGAGCCATACTCATCGCCCCACAACTTTCAAGGATATAGATTGTGACAGCAACTGACACCGTTTACTCTGTTTCTCAGAAGCAAAAATTCCCACCAAGGCAACACCCACCATGGAGTCCTGGAGCAGGTCCTCGAGGCGGGACAGACTGGTGCTGTGGTCGCAGGTATATTTTCGTTTGATGGAGTCTTGGAGGTTTCTCAGGAATGACTCCAGGTCTCGGGCATCACTGAAGAACTGTGGAAACACAGAGAAAGACTGGATTGTAATCAATGCCTCAGCCTAGTGAAAGGTTCACAAAGAAGGAATTTTCTGTGCCAAGCTGAACCAAGCTGATTATACTCTCTTGGACCTGTGACCGCCCATTACAAAAGGTCCAGAGTACAAACCAGAGGGCTTAAAAAAGCGCAGTGTAAAATATTAGTGATAATTTCCAGTAACACTCACTAGATCCTATATAAAGCTAGCCTGCTTCACCCTTCTTGACTTTTGCTTGGTGGCAGCACTTGGTATGAGGCCTAGTTCATGAAATAACCAAGAAGCTAAGTGAAACAATGTTTACCTCACTGATGTAATTATATAACTAAAGAGAAAAACATAAGAGAGAAAATAGCTTATTTCCTCCTCCACCCTTACATGGAGAAAAATGTGTATTTTTTGCTGTTATGATAGGCAGAGATAAGGAAGAATCTTAATGTTTTACGATCTTTCCTCAAGGGGGAGTTTGTCTCCCCTCTTGAAGCTGGTTTGCTTTCACCAGTGCAGCACAAATGACAGAAACAGAAGAAGGTGCCTGTGCATGTGGGCTGTCCTCTCTCGCCATTTGTAGTACAGCCACTCTGTAAAGAAGACAACTGGACACCAGGGCTTTCTACACTCGCTGTCCCCCAGTCACCTTTCAGATACGTGAATAATGCCTTGTGGGATCAAACCGCCCCTGCCCACTAGCTACCTGCAGCCGTGCACATGACAGGCAAGATGAGACAAGTCGTAGAGGAAAAAACCCACTTAGCTGAGCAAAGATCAAACTGAAAGCACTCATGCTTAACAGTTGAAACAACTAAGTTTTTAGAGTTGTCTTATACAGTAAAAGATAATTGATATGAATGAATGCTTGTAAGCCACCTCCCCCCATTTTTTTGAGGCAGGATCTCATGTAGCCCAAGACTAGTCTTGAATTTCTGATCCTCCTAACTCAACCTCCTGAATGCTAGAATCACAGGTGTGTAGCACCACACCCGGTTTTACTATATTGGTGTATTTTAAATCTAACCTTTGGTGTAAGTAAGTACAGCCGTCGACCACCACCACCATACCTGGAAGTAAGCTGCATTCTCTTTCACATGTTGCTCCACACATAAGCACAGCTGCTTCATCCACTGCAGCTGTGACTGGACAGCAGCACTATATGCCTATAAACAGCCAAGCACATGTGCAGAAGGGCATGAGCTTAAGAGGTTCAAATTATATGTGTGAGTCTCTTTCCAAATACAACCCTGCTACTGATGAAGAACACAAAAAAGAGACACAGAGACATTAACTGACACCAGTAAAATGCTTTTTGGGAGAAAGAAGCTTGTCTTGGTTAAAATGGGTTACCTAGAAAAAGCTTCTTCTATACTCAGTTATAACTAATTCAGAAAAATACATAGCATAAATAAATAAATCCCTCCTGGTTCTTCTACTGTTTCGCTCTCTGGCAACAGCACTACACCAACAAGAAGTATGATGTGGGGCTAGAGGTAGCTCAGTGGTTAAGAGCACTGGTGCTCTTCTAGAGGTCCTATAGAGGTTTGGTTTCCAGCACCCACATGTTAGCTCCCAGTAATCAGGGCATTCAATGCCATCTTCAGGCCTTTATAGGTACCAGGCATGCATGTGGTACACAGAAATACAAACGTTCTCATAATGTAACATAGAAATCTTTTTAAAAAGAGAAGTAAGGGGGACTGGGGAGATGGCTCAGTGGTTAAGAGCATTGCCTGCTCTTCCAAAGGTCCTGAGTTCAATTCCCGGCAACCACATGGTGGCTCATAACCATCTGTGATGAGGACTGGTGCCCTCTTCTGGCCTGCAGGCACACACACAGAAAGAATATTGCATACATAATAAATAAATAAATAAATAAATAAATAAATAAATAAATAAATAAATAATTTTTTAAAAAAGAGAAGTAAGATGTATATATATATATAAATCAAGAATCAAAGTCTCTTAACTTCTTCTTAATAATAGTCTCCTCAAACTACTGAAACTGTGCAGGCTTCTGGGAACTGCTGAACAGTCTGGGATAGGAAGGAAGGTAATCTAAAACAAGGGATGTGACATCTCCTCCGGCCTTGGAGGACAAAGCTTCTCCAAGTTTTGTCCAACAAAAACAGTTTCACAATAACACCTTGACCTTAACACATAGTAAGACCACAAACCTCCACTGTTTGTTTAGCTGGATGGTTTTCAAGTGACAAGCGTTCTGCTGTATCTTGTAGAGAACGAAATACATCTTGTTTCCCTTCCAGTTCCATTGTCAACTCCTGCAAATTGAATTTAATTTTATGGAATAAATGCTATTAAAGAAGAAGAGGCAATAAAAAAAACACAATATTCCCTCCTGACTTTTTTTAAGAATCCTGTAACAGGATTGGTGCCAAAATGTGATGTATAAACCGGAAACGCTTGAGGGAATCTCAGGAAAAAAATGTAAAAATGAGAGAATTAAAGGGAAGGGATTCAGAAAGCACAAGACCTGAGCTAGCCCTGAGCAGATTGTGAGAACTCAGGAGGTAGAGGTAAGAGCAAACATGGCTAGAGTGGTTAGTTAGCCAAAAACTAACAAAGGGGCACACTAGTTAGCCAGCATCACACAAAGGGGCACACTAGTTAGCCAGCATCACACAAAGGGGAATACAAGTTAGCCAGCACAACACAAGCAGACACACTAGTTGCACCACAAGCACACACACTAGTGGAAAGATCACTGACTAAGAAGCTTTGCTAAACATTCTCTCAGCTAAAATGTTCTCCTCTGAAACAAAATTCTGTTAATACAAGACCCAATTTAAATGCCGGCTTTTCAGTGAACCCTTACTATCAGATTCAACCTCTTCTCCTTAAGCTCCAGAGCACTGTCTATGTCTAGCAGCCTCGCTGCAGTTTCCACACATGCTGCTGACACCATCAGAGCACCTCATCTTTCCTTTCCTCTTCAGAAGATTCCTGTGTCCTTCTCTGATCAGAAGACCCTTACTTTTGGGAGAGAGTGGGGGGTGGGAGTTCGAGGTTTCTCTTTGTTGTAGCTTTGGAGAGTGTCCTGGAATTTACTCTGCAGACCAGGCTGGCCTCAAACTCACAGAGATCAGCCTGTCTCTGCCTCCTGAGTGCTGGGATTAAAGGCGTGTGCCACCAGTGCTTGACCACATTTTTAATATAACTGTAGTTGTAATGGAACCAAACCAACCAAAGTGGGCACTAGTGGAATAGCTGTCTGTTTGCATAGAGGATTATAACATGTTTTAATATCCCGAGTATGGAAATACTAAAAGTAGCAAAAATTCCTCCTACTTATTTGTTTACTTCTTCATTATAAAAAATAGAAAACAGAGCTAGAGAGAAGGCTTGGCAATTAAGAGCACTGACTGCTCTTCCAGAGGATCCAAGTTCAATTTCCAGCACCCACATGGTGGCTCACAACCGTCTGTAACTCACACATGTGGTACACAGACATATATGCAAGCAAAATACCCATACACATAAAATGAATGGTTTTTTTAAAGATTAGAGAGGAGGGGAGAGACAGAGAAAGAAAGGGGAGAGAGAAGGAAGAGAGAATATAAGGCATTGCCCCATTAATTATAGATTTCCTGACCATTTTACATTTTAAGAGAGTAAGACTAAAATGTCAATAATAATTCAAATTATTATAGAAATCTAAAAGTACAACTCAGTTAAATAATATTAACTCCTGCATTATAAAACACTTTGCTTAGATTATCTTATTAAGTCTTACTCAACCTTTTATACAACCCCTTCAAGTAGTTATTATCTCATTTTTATGAAGGCCCAGAGAGATTAATGTGTTGCCCAAGGTCATAGAGCTAATTAGTGGACAAATAAAAACTTGAATTTAGGTTCGTCACACTACAAACCCTATAATCTTAACCATAAATCTGCATTAATTTCCAAATGACTCACCATACAGACTGTTGCTCTATCTAACTCAAAACACACTCTTCTAAATAAATCCACTCAAGGGCTCTCGCTCCTCCACACATCTTTCTCACAAAACAGACGTAAGGAGCAGAGTCCCCATTTCTATCTACCAGCACATCGCCCAGCACAGTGGTTCTCAACCTTCCTATCCTGCAAACCCTCTCTTCATAACTGTAATTTTGCTGCTCTTATGAATTGCAACATAAAAATTCTTAGCGATAGTGTTAAAGGGTCACGCCCCGCAGGTTGAGAGCCACTGCTCGAGCAGCAGTCTTTGCAGACTGCTTCTCTGCCTCTCACCACTGCTATTCAGCATGACGGTCCTGCTGTGGGACACTCACAGAGAAGTAGGTTTTCTTGGCTGAGATATTAGGGTTGCTGTCACTCCAGTCACAGGCTAGCTCTTCTTCTTCCTTCCCATTCAACCAGATCAGCTCAGCTGTAGCTCTGGAGACAAACTTGTGCAAGCTCTGAAGGTGCCTCATTCGGAAGCTAGAAGTCTCCTGGAAAAACCAAGTATTAAAAAATTAAAGTGCCAGCCTTTGCATCTGGAGAAGATAGCACAGTGACATCAGGAAAGAATAACCCAGGAAACGCATTAGATCCAGTTTGATTAGTTTTGTTTTAAAGTGTGTGTATTTAAACCTAAGGCCATTGGCATGCAAGGAAACACTCTACCATTAAGTCATACACACACACACACCCTTAGCCTTTAAAAAAAAAATCTGGATTCTTTCTGATGGACTCATTTTACATAGTTTGATAAAAAAAACTTTCAGGGTCCTTGTCAATCTTACACTGAAGATGTGACTCACAAGACTTTTGTAAGTGTTGTTGTAAAAAGAGTGATCTTGGCTTATTCCACCATGAACAATAGATGGAAGAATTCCCTCTCAGTCATCTAAATTTTTTAGTTATAGTATCTCAAAATACAGATGACCACTGTTTTGGTGAGGAACATAGCTCAGATGGGCTTTACTTGCTTACAATTTCCCAGAACAGTGGTTTCTGACCTTTAAGAATTTGGAAGTTCAGCTGGGAGGTGGTGGAGCACGCCTTTAACTCCAGCATTCAAGAGGCAGAAGCAGGTGGATCTCTGTGAGTTTGAGCAGCCTGGTCTACAAGAGCAAGTTCCAGGACAGATGCCAAAGTTACAGTGAAACCTTGTCTCGAAAAAAATAAAAGAATTTGGAAGTTCATTGTGGCAGAATAAAACTATAATACTAGGATTTTGGGCACTGAGGCAAGAGTAGTTTAAAGGCCAGCATGGGCTATGTAAAGAAAACACCTCAAAAAGAATATTATAACCCATACGAATAATTACACACAGTAAATATAATCTAAAAAAAAATTAAAAAAAAAAACAAACACGCTAAAACAGAGCCAAACCATGTGCTTTCTGAATTAGGAAGAAGTCTTATTTGGAGGGAGCCCAAGTCTCCATGAGCATAGTAGAAGTTGACTAGTCGAGGTCTGGGAGAAAGACTCACCTTCAGTTTACAGTACTGGGTCTCCAACTTTCCAAGAGTTTCAACATAGCTGGTATGAAAATTCTGGGACATCTTTCCCTGACACAAAAGGAATGAAATGACAAGACATTAGAGAAACAGTGGGGAAACTATGTGGTATTGTTTCAACAATGTAAACAAGATGTGGGTATGCAGGTGAGGGCCCATTGCTCTGGGAAACCCAGGCCTGCGCAACAATTTTCCAGCTGAGACTTCATAGCTAGAGGCAGCACTGAGTGGACAGTTCAGCAGGGTAATCTAGCCAGTCCTCTGCACGTACTTTCAGCAGTCAGAAGCTTCTGAGCAAATCCTACGCCTGACGACTACCGAACTCCTCATCTGCTCTTTTGAAGGTGGTGGGGGTGACAAAATAAAAATCAGGAAGATAGGAGCACAGTAGTAGAGCACTTGCCTAGCAGGCAGAGAGTCCCTAAGTTTGGTCCATTACCACCAGAAAACAAACCAAGACACTCAAAAACTAAGACAGACCCATGATTGATGCAGGACTGACCAAGCGAGCAGCTTCTTCACACCAGCTCTTTACTGCAGGCTCCCAGCAAAAGGAAAAGTATGAATTTTGGAGACAGAAGTCCCGAGTTTAGATACTGCTATTTATTAATTCTGACTTCAGCTGTCAGCATCACTTTTAAAAGTTTTTCAGTTTTTTGTCAGGTGGTGGTGGTGCACGCCTTTAATCCCAGCACTTGGGAGGCAGAGGCAAGTGGATCTCCGTGAGATTGAGGCCAGCCTGGTCTACCGAGTGAGTTCCAGGACAGGCTCCAAGCCAAAGCTACACAGAAACCCTGTCTCAAAAAACCAAACCAAACCAAAAAAAATCCCACTTTTTTTTACAATGTCATTTCAAAGGTTAATAGAGACACATTGAATAAAGCCACAATTAGTTGTAAAGTGTTATTCATTATATACTTTACTTTTCAGAGCCTCCTCCTTTTCAAAAACAGCAGTGTGGAATAAACCTCCCACTACCTGCTCCTCCCCAGAACTCTCCTAATGCAGATTCTGAATGCTCTTTACCTCGTACAGCCTAGCCTCTTTGACACTCGAGCCCAGCTCCTCCACGCTGGTGTGGATATGCTGCTGTGTTTCCAGCTGCAACTCCACACTAGGCAGATCATTACCCCACTCTGCTCGTTCCAGCTTCATCTGAAAAAGAAAGCACATATGGGTTAAAACTTGCAAAAGACAGGAGAGTGGTCAGTCAATATCTGGATGAGATGATCAGGGGTAAGAGCCAGGTATAGTAGCACACATCTGTGATCTCAGCACTTAGAACAGAAGACTCAGGATTTCCAGGTCAGCCTGGACCACATAAGACCATGACTTAAATAAGCAAAATGGCAAGGTGTAAGGACTGGGCATCTAAACTGTCTCTATCATTCTATGGCTTTGTACAGGAAAATAAATTACAATCAACCCTCAAGAGCCTACAGAGGAAGCCCCATTAACTACAGCAATGGTGGCCTATGAGAAAACAACCCTGAGTTTGTCAGAAGTGGGGCTTAACACACTGAATATTCAAACATTCCCCTTTATAGAGTTACAAGACATGGTGGTGCATGCCTTAAATATCAGCACTCAGTAGGCAGAGAGGCAGGCAGATCTGAGTTTCAGGCCAACCTGGGCTATGTAATGAAACCCTGTCTTAAACAAAACAACAATAAATCATTATGAATTTCTTAATTTAATAGAGTAGCCCCCCACAAAAAAAAGAAAAGAAAAAAGAAAGATCTAAAAAATATTTTGATTCACAGCATCAGCCAATAGATCTCTTCTCCCTTTTTCTGTCCTCCCTTCCTTTTTTCTTCCTTGAGATGGAAATCCTATAAAATAGCCCAGGCTGGCCTGGAATTTATCACCTCCTGCTTTAGCCTCCTGGGTCTTGGGTTTACAGGGATAGCCTGGCACAGAACAATGTCAAATTTGAGCTATTACTGACCTAAAATATAATTTAGTAGCATTGGGCTTGTGGAATAAATACATCAGTCTTGCTTAGATTTAAGATGTATGACCAAAACAACAAAAACCGAAGAATGCACTTTCCTATCAACAAGGAACCATCAGAAGACAACTGAGATATATAGATACTACAAGTTTCCCACAAGTTACCACTTAGGGCATGATTAACAGAAGGTAACAGACTCTCCAAGAGCTTCAAGTCAGAAAAGCCCGTGACAATCTATATAAATCCTGTCCATTTAGAATATAAGGAGGAAGGAATCAGGCACGGTGGCATATGCCTGTAATCCCAGCACTCAGGAGGCTGGGGTCGGAAGATCATGTGTTCAAGGACAATGAGACTACACTGACTTCCAGATCAGCATGGGTTAAACAGTGAAGAGGCAAGGGGACATTTAAGAAGAAGGGGTCTCAGGTGCAGATAGGATCAATTATTAAGGCTTTCTCTACCAGAAACACAAAGCAACCTGGTCCTCTCTTAAGACAGTTTTCTGGACATACACCCACCTGCATCTCTTCTACCCAAGAAAGTAGTTCATATACAAATCGGAGACTGCCTTCATCTTCAGAGGAGGAGATAGATACAAGTTCAGCCCGGGTCATAGGTTTTCGAAACCAGGAGGTAGAAGAATGAGTTGTCTTGTTCAGGGGTTCTGCTTTCAGATGTGTAGTGGTTAAGGTAGAGGGTGGGACCAATTCAAGTGACGTAAAATGGCCTTTCCGGTATAGATTCGTACACTCTAAGCGCAGGGTGACCAGCTCGTCCTGCAGACGCATGACCCTGGAGGAGAAGAGTAAACTTAAAACAAGCTTAAAATAAAATCTTCATTATCTATTTAACAAGCACATGATAAAAATAAAAATGGGACCATATCAAGAAAAGTGTTTTGAAAAAGTGTTACAGGAATGTAAAGTGGTATTTTTAACATCATCTAGTTTGGAGTTTTCGAGGCAAATGCAAAACTAAAGTGTTAATTGGAAGGAAGTAATGTAATATTTATACGACTTCTAAAGGTCATAAAAAAATAAATGCTGGACTGCCATGTGACTTTAAACACTGCTTATCCTCTCTGCAGACCTGTTTCCCCATCTGTAAAATGAGTTCACTAGACCCCAGTGATTCAAAGTCAAGTGTTCTAGCATACCTCTGCAGGTCACTCTGAAACAGAAATGCGGTAAGATGACATAGTGACCGAGAAATATACTATAGACACTTAATAGGATGGGTGTGCAAAAAGGGAAACTCAGCCCAGGCAATGTCCTGCTTGGGTGTACATGCAGCAGCCCCAGAAACAGAGTTCTGATATTCAAGTTAAAGATTCAGTACCTGGCTCTTATGTCAGCCCTCCCTATGAGCCCCTTCCTCCTCACCTAAAGGCCAGTTCTTCCAGCTGGTAGTACTTCTCATCCCGGAGGATCTGGAGATCCACCTGCAGCTGCCTGATGAGACCTTCGCACTCTTGAATGTACATGATGACATCTGACTCACACTGGACTGGCTGTCCTGATTCCAGATGTGCAGCATCCTGTGACAGAAGAGAGTCTGGGTGAGAAAATGTCACTGCTCTCACCCACTAGGAGGGAGGGAACTGAGGAAAAGGAAGTAACACAGCTGGATTCCTCAGCTGTTAACTTTGACTGTTAGAGCAGCTGGGTACAAAGTGGAAAGCATGTGACATAAGATGTAGGACGAAGCAAATACTTACAGCCTGCAGTGTATTCTTCGCTAGTGTCAGTTTTTCTTCACAGTTCAAAGCACCATTCTGTATTTTATTTGCAATCTGAAGCAGCAATTCCAGCCTAAAAAAATAAAAACCATAATGAAGTACAGACTCAAAGCAGCACTAAGGAAAGCCAGTCTGCCACCCGGGCCCACCTTTCCACAGCAGGCCGTAGGGATTTCTCTCGCTCCAGCATTTCAATGATGAGTTTCCCCCATTCTTCTTCTACATGATTAGGGTGGTAGCCTTGAGGCAGTTTAATTCTGCCAAATTCAATCCACACCTGAAAGAGATACTTTTCAGTGCCCAGCCACAGCCTACCCTCCGGACTGTTTTGATCTGTTTCTGTATTTTGCTTCTTGCTTTTTTATTGTTGTTGTTGTTGTTCCCGTCAAGCAGTAGTTTTTCACACTATCTAATACAGGAAAAGAATAAAGCATCTAACAACTTAAGAGTCAAAACATTTGTATCTAAACTCTAACATGCAGAGACCACTTGCTCTAAACCATCCCATCCCTTCTATCATTTCTAGAAATCTGTCTTCTAAATGAACTTGATACTGGCAAGGTTAAATCCACCCAACTCTATAGTTTCCCTCTAAAGACTTAGTTTGACTCTAAAAAGCAAGGAAAAAAGGATTTCTGAATAGAGATACTGTTTTTCAATGACTCCTTTACTAATGACAGTTTGTGTGATACTTTACCACAGAGTTCCAAGACTGGCTGAGGGTATCACTACCCTCGGCAGTGATAAAAGGGGAGCATGTGGAATCTATTAGGAAACAACGAGAGTACAAACTGGCAAACCCCACGTCTTAACAAGAAATATGCTTCCTTACCTCCAGTAACTTATATAACTCTTTGATTCTTCCTTTCTCTCTCTCCTTGGCAAGAATTTCTGTTTCTTTGAAGTGTATATATTGGTTATAAAGTGCCTACAAATATTAATATTTGATGAATGAATTAATAGACCAAAGCAACAGGGACCAATTTTTCACACCACTTCCCCCATCCCAGCAGCATAAATCTCTGAAGCTTACTCCCAGAGAGAATTCATAAAAAGCAACTTAAGTCCATGCTTTTACCTTTAGTTCAACAGGGTTCTGGGGGAAAGATTTATCTGACATCAAGATCGTATGCTGTCTGATCCAGGGAAGGAGTGAGTCCACTCGGCTTTGGTATTCTTGCCACCTGGCATCCACCTCCTATGGTCAGAAGGCAGACACTGTAGACCAGATTTGCATGCAGCAGAAACAAGGACAAAGTGGCTCAGACCACCCCAGGCCATGAAAAACCCTCTTCTAATTGCCTAGACAGATGTCCAACTTAATACTCAAAGTTTCAGTTTCAAATCTCCCCAAGGAACCCAAAGCTGCCATTCAATATCTTGACACATAGACAGACTATAAACCAAGCTACTAAAATTAAGGTCAACAATATTTGTCAGACATGGTGATTCTTCACATTGTAATTGCACCACTCGGGGGTTGAGGCAGCAGGACCATGAGTTCAAGGCTAGCCTAGAGCTCAGCCATGTCGCCTATTCAAACTTGTATCAGTAGCCAAGAAAACACTGCATCATCTTGAATTACGGCTGGGGATGGAAACAGCATTCTTTGCTGGCATTTAACATCAAATGGTCTATGTTAGATGGCATAAAATTAGGAATACCAAGGCTCATTCTTAAGGACAGTGGGTCTTTGTAAATGCATAAGAATCTAAGTAACACTATCTAATGAAGGCACTCTATTTCAATGAAACAAGGTATTTTAGGAAAATGTTCTTTTACCGTAGCACTGATCCCTTCTCCGCCCTCAGGGACTTTGGGGAAGGCATCATAAATTGAAGACACGTAAGTGATTACAGACTTTTCATCTGGAGATGGTACATCCACATCTGAGAGAAAGATAGAATTTCTTCATCAGAATGAGGAACTTGCCAGGAGAAGGAATTATGAAAACATGTTAAATGTACTTAAATTTCAGTAACTCTCACCTTCTGCATCCAGCAATCTGGTGACCCCAAGTCTCTCGGCTACTTCAAAAGCCTGTTCCAGATTCTCCCGGTTACTCTGGATTTGCACTCTTTCCATATCTACCAGATCGGGTCTGTAAAGGTCCACCAACGCAAGTGAAAAACCACTGTCTATCCAGCACATAAGCTCACACAAGGAGAACCTAACAGTTCCCAGAACTGAAAACTGTCAGAGGCCATGAGAATATACAGCATACGGCAGTCGATAATTCAAATGTCACCAAGCAGGGGGTGACTCTGATGGGGGCTAATCCTGTCAAGGCAATACCTGAAGGATCATCAACTCTTTTTTGCTCACTTTTGCTAAAACATCTTGGTGTCTCCTCAATACCTGCATTGTAGTATGTAATCTCATGTGATATGTATATGTAATCTCATGATTACATCTCAATCTTATGGGGGGGCACATATATCTGTGGGTGATCAGGAAGATGACTCTTCATTTATCTGTATAATCTTTATATATAGAATATATACTGTGACATGCTTCATAACTAGATCTATTTGTCCCATGAAGACTATAGACACTTAAAAGCCTGCTTTGTTCCTTTTGGCTTAGACTAACTGCACACAATTAGCTCACTTTTACCTCAGAGCAAGTTCAAACTAGACTAAAGGCTTTCTGTAAACAGATTGTAAGTTTAAAATTTTATAGTTATGCACAAAGTCAAAGTCGCAGATGTCAAACCTAGGTTGCTACACAAAGCACCCTAAGAAAAGTATGCCAAGTCTTCACTTGCCACTCTGCTAACAACAGAACTATGTTTCAAAGTTTGTCACTGGGCACTGTACCCCCTCCCCAATCTGGTCATGATCTTACTCCAGTAACCTTGGAACTTTGGGTTACCATGGAAGAGGCTCAGCTCCCTATTGCTTACCCTAGGAATGTGCTTTCTACCAATGAGACTAACTCTTGTAATTTCTTTTTAATCACTTAAATGTTTCTGTAAAGAGACGAGTTTTTAGTCTAGAAGAGAAGAAGGTAGGAGGATAAGTTGGGAGGAATTAGAAGTAGTACAGAATTAGAATAGAAACAGAATAATAGAGACTGATTGGAAAAGCACATAGTGAAAGAATTTGATTATTTGTCCTCAGATATCCAAAGAAAAAAGTCTTTTGCATTTGCTGTGTGGCCAGTCTAAACCTTGAAGAGAGTCTTGGAGCTAGTCCCCAAAGGCTTTCACTAGAAAACACTGAGTGAACTAGAGAGAAAGTAGGAGACAGGAAGATACCAATCCTGAACCTACTTTTAATTGCATACTAGGCACCTAATGCTACCCAATTCCAAGTTTACACAAATTCATAAACTAGTACACAGTGAAAATTGATATATGTGTACGACCACCCAGAGCTCAAATTATTTTTTTGTGGTTAAAATTCCTATCTTCCTTCCTCATGTCATACCAACTCACCTGCCGCTCCTTACTTTGGTCCGGTCCCTCTTGAGGCCCTGTGTACTTGTTCTTTCACCTACTTGGGATGCTCTGACCCCAGAGCCTGCATGGCTCCCTCTTGAGACCCTCATCTACCTCTGGTCATCTCTGTCCAAATTACCACAGCCCTATAATTATGTTCTTCCACGGTGCCTGCCACTATATGACAACACCCAGTTCTCTGTTTACTGCTTGTTCTCCCCAGTGGACAGTCAGCTCCCTGAAAGCAGGAACACTGATTGGTTCACTGCTTTGGCCAGTGCCTAGAACAGTAGGGCTCAATAAAGACTGCTTTTCAAAACAGAGCAATAAATTAGAGTCTAAGCCTTGGTGGGAGGGGAAGATGGTGTAACAGCTCATTACAAATGGGGTGGGAAGAATTCCTTCTAAGAGCAGTGAGAATCCACTGTACGTACCTGTATCTGTGAATCAGTGCATTGAACATTTTCCCGTCGCTCCAGCAGGAAGAAAAGTTGGTGCATTTGATTCCTGTGTAACCAGCTGTTACTTTCTGAGTCCACAAGAGTAGTTTCTCCTTGGCTGACATATCCCCTGATTCCCCACTAATGTAGATATCAGATATCTGCAAACACATAGGACATGGAATAACTCCTTCAAATACAATAAAGTCTGTTGTCTTTCTCTTTTCTCTATATTATGACTAATAAAGGAAGAAAGACCCAAGACTGGCTAGCAACACTGTGAATGTCAACTCCAACAGATATTCAACATCTCTGGTAACCAGAGAAACACAAATTAAAACTTATCAGACTGGCCTGGTGCTGGGGGCACATGCCTTTAATTCCAGCACTTGGGAGGTAGAGGCAATTTGATCTTTGAGTTTGAGGCCAGCCTGGTCTACAGAATGAGTTCCAGAACAGCCAAGACTTCAAAGGGAAACCTTGTCCCAAAAAACCAAACCCATCAACCAAGCAAACAAGAAAACCAAAGCAACAAAACAAAACACCCAAAACCTATCAAATAAGTAAAGGCTGGTTGGTCTATAATGCTAACAATTAAAAATGGAGAGAATATTCAGAATTGGATATTATCATTTGAAAGTATACTATGGAGAATATAAACACATTTATGCAGGATGTCAGTTTTAAATCAAATACTTATTTATAAAGAATGTATTTATTTTTATTTTATATGCATCGTTGTTTTGTCTGCATGTATATGTGAGAACAATATACATATATACATAAAGCAGACAATAAGACACCCAAGTGTCTTATACTAAATTTTACATATTTAACTCAAAATAAATGAGATTATAACAGAGCATCCATCCGCTAGGTTCTCAACTTATTTTGGATTTTTAAATTTTTACAATAGTTTAAGACTGTACTTACTGTTGGCCAGCCAGTGGTGACTCACACTTTTAATCCCACTGAGGGGCAGAGGCAGGTGGATCTCTGTGAATTTGAGGCCAGCCTGGTCTACAGAGTGAGTTTCAGGACTGGCTCCAAAGCTACAGAGAAATTCTGTCTCAAAAAACCAAAAAGAGTGTACTTACTGTCAAGTACTGTTTTATATGTTCAGCAAAATCATGTTCAATAAGTTATACCAGTTATGAAATATTTTATTATTATAATAAAAGGCTTTGATTGTGTTAGATAATTTTGCCCAACTATGGGCAAAAAAATGTTCTGTGCAGTCTAAAGTGGTCCAGGTTAAATTATGAGGCTCAGTAGGTTAATGTATTAAATACATTTTTAAATTACAGAGATAATACAATTTCAAATTAAATACATAAATCAAACTGGGATATAACCCTGTTTTGAGTAAGGGTACTTCTATTATTTTAAAATCAGGAAAATTGGGGCCAGAAAGTTCAATACTTTATTTAGGAAAACACACACACACACACACACACAACCCCAAAACAAAACAAAACAACCAAACCCTGCAGACTTCTAAATACTGCCAAAATGTTTGAAGGCAGACAGCAAGAATAGTATAGATAGTTTGCATAGAGCCCAGGAAGCCACTTACATGTCAAAGTGAAATGAAATGGCAGAACAAGCAGCAAACTCATGGGTACAGTTTTGCCCTTGACAGGTATATTCATACAAAGGAAATTCAGACTAGTGCACTTTGATAATGCCTAATAATAAGATGATTCTACAAATCTTTTTATCACTCACCACCTCTCTGCTGACTCCATATTTACCTGACAACTTTCAAATTATTGTTTCACATACATACATACGTACATACATATACACATTAAGTATGTGCGTACGCACATACGTACATACATACTATAAAGCTAAATGATTGCTGCAGATACTCAACAACTTTACAGTTATAATTCATTTTATAAATTAATTCAGACCCATCAATCACTTATAAATATAAACCATGTGAAACTATGCTATAAAATTCAATCAATTCCAAGTTTGATAGAGAGAGTCACGAAGCTGCAAAGTAAGGACTCAGTAATAGTACATTCAACCCAACAGCCAGCACCCTATGGGCTCAGTATAAACAGTCTCTTTCTAAAGTCAGCTCTATTTCCATTCCCTTCACCAATATTTCTACTAGACACTGACATATACCCATCACTTTCATTGCAGCTGCTTCATGTACATATTAAGAAAGATCATAAAATAGATTTGGTGAAATGAAACAAGGAAAGAATTGACAAAACAAATTCTGAGCATTAGCGTTCTTTACCAAAAACTAAATTCTAATTATTTAACCAAAATAAGCACAACCGTCTCTCTAATGACATCCCCTACCTGCCAATCACCGTTTCAGCCACAATGCCTATATGCACATTGCATTAATTGGTATATGTACATAAGTTTTGCCAGCATGTATTATACACCATACGCATGCAGTGCCTTAAGAAGACATTGGAGCCCCCGGAACTGAACTTGGGTCCCCTAAAGGGCAGCCAGTGCTCTTACTACTAAGGCAATTTCTCCAGCCCCTGCATTGAAACTATTTCATTGAAGAGCTTTGCTTCAGATTTTCAACACAGGTTTGATGAGACAATGTTTGGTTCCTTAGGGGAAGAAAACAGCACCACGCTTGGATTGCGACCTTTCCAGACTGTAAACTAGGTTGTGAAAAATGTGACTATCATTGCAAGCATCTCAGTAGTTAAGTTTGAGTTTTATCCACCTTTTCTTGTGATGCTCTCATGTAGTATGCATACCATCACTAGGGTCTACAGAAGCATTTACCTTAACACTCAAATACAGAGATCCGGCTTTCATCAGTTTCCTCCCCTGGCCGAGTGGAAAGATAACCTCAACATCATGCCAGCGACTACACGTATCTGCTCGAACTTCCTCCCATCACATACTACCCAAGCTTCAGTTAATTTCTTCTCCAAAGAAGTGTAACAACATAAAACATCCCCAGCATCTACAGAAAAGTCAGGTGTGGAAGTGTGATAGGCAGACCCTTAGAGCTCACCCCAGCTAGACTAGGCAATAGGTAAGCTGCAGGTTCAGTAAGAAACCAAAAACCAAGGTAGAATGAAACTGAGGAAGATGCTCTATGTTATAAACCTCTGAACTCTATACTCTTGTGCACACCGGCATTCACGTGTGTGCACACGCATACACACACACACACACACACACACATTTTCTACTTATGTCCATGCTCCCTCCACAGAAAAAATGAAAAACAATATTAAAGTTACACTGTATAATTGATTTAGAATTTTTATAATTATATTAAAAATACTATTCAAATGCTATCTTTGCTACCAGTATCTTTTTTTTTAATAGGAAAAACTACTTGATGAGCAATTTTCTAGAAATATCACCTACATCTCTTTTTTAATATTTTTGTAATACAGCCATGTTTTTCTGAGTCTGGGTTTCCAGAAATTTGATTCCAAACCACAAGAATCTAACTGTTTTATACTGAATTGATGACCACTAGGCTATGGGAGCTTTATAACTAATATAAATAACTTATAAACCATTAATGTGGGGCTGGCAAAATGGCTCAGTGGGCAAAGGGCACTTGTCACCAAGCCTGACAACCTGAGTTAAATTCTCTCAGGACCCATTGAGTGTATGGAAAGAAGTGACTCCTCCAAGTTGTCCTCTGATCTACACACACACACGCACACACACACAAAAGAGGAGAGGTGTGTGTGCAGGCCAGAAGACAACCTCAGCTGTTGTTCCTCAGTTTTCAAACACCTTTTTGTTGTTTTGTTTTTAAAGACTGGATCAGCTGGACTGTGGTGACGCACTTTAATCCCAGGATTTGAGAGGCAGAGCTTGAGTTCCAGGCCAGGCCAGCCTGGTCTACAGAGAGTTCCAGGACAGCCAGGGCTACATACAGAAGCCCTGTCAGGGAGAAGAGGGGACATAACAGGATCTATTACAGTCCTGAAACTCACTGGCTGGCTGTTTTCACTTCTCCAGCTCTGTGACTACAAGTTATCATGCCTGAATTTTTATATATGAGTTCTGGGGATCCTTGTGTTAGCAAGACAAGCACTTACTGGGTTATCTACAAAATTTATTTAGGTCTGTGTGTGTGTATGTGCATTCATGCATGCATGTACACACAGGCAAAGGTTAGAAATCAACTTTGGGTGTCTTCCTCCTCTACCACTGTTCACCTTGCTTTTTTTTTTTGGTGTTTTTTTGTTTTTTTTTTTAATAGGGTCTCTCATTGAATTTGGAACTCAGCAATTCAGCAGTAATAGCCACTCTCCTGACTTTTTATGGGTACTGGGGATCCAAGCCCTGGCCTGTAATCTTGCGCAGGAAGACCTTTACTCACCAAATCATCCATCCAACCTCTTAAAAACATTTTAATTTCTTTATTTCTCTGTTTGTTCATTTGGTGTGTGTGTGTGTGTGTGTGTGTGTGTGTTGGAGGGCATGTGTGTTTACTCCACCATGCATGTGGGTATCAGCTTGGAGGAGCTGGTTCTGTTTTCATCATGCAGGTTCCAAAGGTGGAACTCAGCTGGAAAGCAAGTACCTTTTTCATCCACTGAAGCATCTCTTTGTCCTTTGAAAAACATTTTCAGTATTAAGGTTTATATATAGTTACATATAACACTTCAAGTTAGAAGGCTATATTCCCAAGGAGAATAACTGGATCTCCTTGGCTCTTTTGTCTCTCATTTTCTTTAAATGGATTATGTCACTTGATCTCTACCCAAATTAGTACAGATTGAACTAGTACATGGTGACATAGATTTATTCAGTTAATCTTGCCTGTTTTGTTTTTTGGTAATGAGCTAGCTATAACTTCACTGAGAGGCCATAACAAAACTGTATAAAAACTCAAAACCAGTAATAAGTTTTGTTTACAGCAGCTACCTGAAGCTAAAAAGTTCATCTCAGCTTTGTCATATCTAACAGTTATCTAAAAATTATCTATTATCTATGTCTAATAAGCAGCAATAATAATAGAACCCCAAGAGAGTCTCAGGAGGATGGAAATTTACTGTGCTTTGCAAAGATCAATAAGATTTCTTAAATGAGTATGACTTAGATTCATCCTTAAAGGATGTTACAGAACTGAAAAACGGAAAGGAAAAGAGAATTCCAAACTAAACACTGAGATAATAAAATTATCTTTTGGAGG